GTTTCTTCATTTCTACGTTCATGTAATCTAGGGGTATTTCTGTATCGTTGAAAATACCACGCGTACGACTAAGCCGGTAGTGTTCTCTGTCACTAAATGACAGCTAAAACTGTATTTATCGTGGATTTTGACAAGAAATTTTTGTAATAACTATGGTGTTGAATTTAAGAAAAACACAATAATCAACTTGACTAAGACTATTAAGACTATCAACCGCCGTCTGGTTAGCTCATGTGGATGAGCGCCGAACTACTGTGCAGGAGGTCGAGGTTCAAGACCCAGGCCAGACCCACACTCAGGGTCTTAAAATAACTGAGGAGAATGTGCTGCCTTTGCCATGATATCTGCAAGCGGTTAGGCATTCTAGTCTTCTAGCTCGGATAAGGACGAAAAGCCGTTGGCCCTGTGTCCAGCATCTTCTTCTAACTACTAGTTAGAAGGGGGAAGTTTAAGAACCCACACACTTAACGCAAAGAAAATTTGAAAATATCCAAGAGTAGGGTATGCTCGTAATATGGTAAATATGGTAATATATATGGTAAATCCATAGGTAAATCTATTTAAGGAACAGCATATTCCACAAGGTTTTATTTCACTTACATATCCTGATTTAAAAACTTTCTATGTGTTATCCTAACATCCCACGCGGGTCTATCACGTTTTAAACCCAAGTCACAACTGTGAATGGGGTTTAGCAGAGGGAACAAAATCATCTCTCAGCGTTTTTTTGGAGTTGGACACTGATCCTAAGAAGACCTGCCAAGGAGCGTGTGAAAACAATCAGTGTTTGAAAGAAATTGAACAACCGGCGCGAAGACCAAAGTAAAGGGAGGTTACTGAAAAACCAAAATCACTCCTCTATCTCCATTAGTTCACCCTACGTGGTTGCCAAACCACATGGTACATGACAGAGCAGAAGAGCGACTCTAGTCTCACCCATCATGCTTTAGGGCAAAGCGTTTCTCCCATGATCCTTTTGTAAATGGTCGCTCTCGCTTCTGAGTTGGCCATGCTGCTTCATGCAGTGAACTCTAGTTGGAAGTTTGACTGCTGTTGACGTATTACACTGTCACTCATGATAAGTCTTCATATATATTAGCTAGCCAGTCTCCCATTCGACAGTTCCACCCAGCTTGACAAATATTGACGGTGTACCGCTTTCATGGTTTCCGAGTGAAACTTAATTGACGCTTAATCAATGGATATTTTAGTTTGCAATGATTGACTACCATAATTTTGCAGCACAAAATAAGGTAACAGCGTAACAAGGATGCATAGTGTACGATGTAGATTTTTCAATTCTGGAATATCTCCCTGCTGGAAGAATTTATAATGAAGTAGGTATTCTCGAAGCTTAACTACTGATGACCAAATTTGGTAATGATTACCTATCCAAATTAGAATGTATGCAAACTAAAAGCAGATGGATTATGATAATATTTGCATCAAGCTGGAGTAAAACTGCTTCTATCTGCCCCTTTTATGGAGGGCATTGAAGTCAAATTTTCGAAAATAATTAAACTTTTTTGAGTGCTTTCTAGCTAGATAATTTTTCTGGTGATGCAAGTAAATACTAAGTTGCGTGAGACCTTTTTAGTGTTTTTCTCTTCAACATTCTGTTAATTATCTATACCTGTGGGTGGGCAGCAGACAGGTGGCACTGTTTTGGCTAAACATGGAAAATTGTATTCATTTTCAGAAAAATCTATTTGTTATGTCATGAGTCTTAATATTGTGAATAGCATTTAGGTCAAATTATTGGGCGCGCTCCTCTTTTAGTTCGTGTTTTTATTTCTTCCTGCCTTCCTTCCTGAAATCTCTATAGAGTAGATTTTTTGTACTTTAACGCATAAAGTTAAATGAATTGCATCCACACAAGACGAGAACACGGATGCCTTACCACCATAAGTTACAAAGTTTTAATAAGAGAATTGTGCAGATGATGTCCTGATTTTTTCCCCCTCTGGGTATTTGCACAAATAACCCTCACTGTCATTCATTCTCATTGTCCACTGAACCTATAAAAAGCCTCTTTATATATTAAATACACAAATTACTTCTTGCCTTTAACTCCCACCTCTGCATACATTATAACCGATCCCTAAATTCTCGTAAATATAACCTCTTTATAAGGCAGCCAGTAGTTCCAATAAAGTGAGAGGCTGTAGAAGAAACTAACTGGAGCTTTCAGGCTCGGCTCAATTTAGATATTATTCATCCCAGAAGTGATGCATAAATTGAAAGGTAATTAATAAAAAAGGTAATTAATAAAAGTCCTGTAAGTTTAATGGACCGAAAACTTGAATTGCTCAGTAGAAATCGCTTATAGAATAAGACTGCTTTAAGCTAATTCAAGGAATGCTTCTTTTACTTTCTTTGACTCAAATTATAATCGCCGAAGTTAGTCACATATCTAATTTGAACTTTCATCCAGTTATCACCTAAGAGGTCTAATAAACATTCCATCCCAATAATATTGCACCTGGTGCACTATTAAGTCCATCCGGGCTATAGTGATAAGTGCTATGTATAAACTAGGTGGTAGCAGCAGTTTTTTAACTGTTTTACCGGAGCCCACAAGTGTTTGCATGCACAAGAATGAACTCCTCGTGTTATTTCAAGAGGGGAGCGAGAACTTTCCCTGTTACCCTTATTATTTTACTCGGAATCAGATTAGCATCAGTTTTTGCCTGTATTGGTGAGTTGAATTCGTTTAATCCGTGTAGTTTGACATAATTACCTATAGAGGATGCGATAAGGTGTTTGTTAGGGCGTGAGAGAAATAACACTTCCTGTGTGTGATGACTTAAGCCTGGTTTTCACTGGCGACGCGAGCGCGAGCGTAAGCACAAACGTAAGCACAAACGTAAGCACAAACGTAAGCATAAGGTTTACATGCCAAATGAAAACGAACATCGACAAGCACTAGCATAAGATATAAGAAAAATGTTGATCCGTACACTTTTGTTTACGCTTGCGAAGAGGCTTGCGTAGAGGCTGTTTTCACGGTGAAATATGAGCTGTTATGCTTGCGTCGCTAGTTTGAACTGTTTTACCGGCGCTCAGTGAAAACTAGGCTTTAAGGGATTATGTACCTCACATGATACAAAAATTACACTTTTGGTCAGGTAAACAATATTTAACTGAGTTCACTTTATTTTGTTTGCTAATCAAGGACGAGTTTGATTGTTTTGAACAAATTTTCCTAATTTAAAATTCGTGTCTCTTTTCCTTGATTACCGAGAAAACAATTATCGAGAGCATTTTACAAGAAAACAATTAGGCGAAAGAAAACCCATTTGTGAAGTTTTTGAAGATGATTTAAAAGTACGCGATAGCTGACTTCTAGGTCAATTCAATTTTTTCTTATCAAACTTGAGACGATGAAAAGGAACTAATATATCTCCCTGCTTGTAATTAACATAAAGTTAAATGTATTATTCAGAGGCTTTGAATAATCACGTTTTCTTTCTCCCAAACTCTTATTGATATTAATGTTTTAAACTTCGTTCATTGCAGAGCGACTTCAAAAAGGTTGCGTAGATCAACTGATATTTTTTTATATTAAGAATGACTCAAAAATGCGGTGAAACAATTTGAATAGAGGCTCAAAGATGATTAAATATCTTAATTTATATTCACAACCTAGCATTTGGCCTTCAATGATTACTCGCGCTTTGTCTTTCCTACGCAAGTTGCAGCTCTAAGTTATCGTGAAAACCCCGAGCATACTATGTTGCATAGTTAAATTTTACTGTGGTCCACAACAGGTGACGAATGCCGCATTATCCTGTTCGAGGAACCGATATCAAATAAGGTGATAAAGGGTCACACGATCAGGAGTGAGGAGGTACCTGATGAAGGGAGCTGCCGTGTGATGTGCTATATGGAGCCTAACTGTGTGTCCATCAATGTAAGACTCGCGCAAGGCGGAAAATACAAATGTGAGTTGAATAACGCCACAGTTGATGAAAGTAAACTGACCTTCCTTCAGGAAACGGATGCTTACTACCTGGCTATTGAGGTAAATGCTTCACAAAAACTTTACTCATAATAGCAAAAGGATTGAATGCTGCAGAAAATTGTACTCAGAGTAACCCGCCCCTTGCTTAAAATGGCACTTTCTCTCTTTCTTTCTTTTTTCTTCCTTTTTGCTTTGTTTTAAAAGTGGGACTCGAATTAAAGCTGATAGACAGTTTGTTTAATCTGTCTAGTTCCTCTAAGTCTTGCTCGATAGGATCTACGTAATAACTCAAGGGTAGCTGTAAAAAAACTTCAATAGAGCCCCAGAAATTTATCAACTTTTGACGCCTTACTAAATAATTTTTGGATTCAATTTATCGAGTGTCATAAATCTTTTCTTATCACTTCAATGCCTTCTCTTTTCAACAGAATCCCTGTAGTAGCAGTCCTTGTTTAAATAACGGAACTTGTCAAGTTGGTTTTACCAGCAAAGGATTTCGATGTGTCTGCGTTCACGGATTTGTTGGAGAAAACTGCAGTGGTACTTTGAAATCCTTTTTCGAATTGTACTTATTTCCGATTTTATATTCATGAAAAGACATAGTTAGCTCTTGCGGAAGTTATGAGAAACATCAGACAGAAATACCACTAGCAAACGTTAAGTGCACCCTCGCGGTTACTGGAACGACATATAATTTTTTTAATCTGCCTTATACTCATCACGTTTCCTGTCTTTCTCTCAGAAACAAAGTTAAACGGGGATTGACAAAACTAGTCGTTGTTTTACTCAACTTGCAGTAGGTTACAACTAAGAAAATTTATTAACTTTTTGAGGATGTATACCATCAACAACATGGTAACTTTCGGGAAAAAAACTTTTTCAAAGATCCTGTATTTATATCTGATATGCTGTCCTCATATTTATAACGAATTGTGGCATAATTGATTCTTCATTCTAAAAACGTTTTTAACCCACATTAAGCAATATTTTTCGTTTGAAAATAAAACTCTGTTGAAATTAACGTAATATTTCACTTACAAATTCATTTCTTTATCTTGACAGTAGTGTTCCGACCAAAGTCTTGCAGCGACTTAAAGAGGGTCTATCCTAATACAAAAAGTGGACCATGTACCATCTATCCTGATGGCGAAGGAGGGTCGCAACCATATAACGTCACATGTAACATGACCGACAAGAACGAAATTGGCGTGACTGTCGTTAGTCACGACAGCGAGAACAGGACGCTGGTGAACGGATATGAAATAAAGGGATCTTATTCACGTGACATACACTACCAAGGGGCGACCGTTTCTCAGTTGGTGGGTCTCATCAACGTTTCTAAGCACTGTGAGCAGTTCATCAAGTACGAGTGCTTAGCTTCTACATTGAACGATGGCTTTTGGGTTTCACGTGATTCCGTGAAAATGACTTATTGGGGCGGAGCAACTCCTGATTCAGATAGTCCTATGAAGTGCGCATGCGGAATGAATAACACCTGCGCAATTAAAGATGAAGTTTGTAACTGTGTTGCGAATGAAAACAACTGGCTGGAAGACAGCGGTCTCCTCACTGAAAAGACACATCTACCGGTTAAACAGCTGAGGTTTGGCGATACAGGTGGAGACACCGAGCAAGGCTACCATACCTTGGGAAAGTTAAAATGTTACGGAATCGTCTGATTTGAAAAGAAAACAAAATAGAGAAAACTACGTGGGCGCGTGTAGATATGGAATTTCTCTTTCAGTGTTTAACTCGATAGCGAGTGAGATGTCGAGTTGAACACCAGAAGAGAAATTCCATTTCTACAAGCAACCATGTATTGTTTTGTTTATCTTAAAAACGCAATAGTCCTTTACTGACCAGAAAAGTCGACTTTATTAATGAATGAATATAAAAATATCGACACTCCGAATAAAAATCATAGCGTACGTTGGTGCACTCAAGATAAAAACATGCGTTCAATCACTACGAAAACAAACAATGGGCGTAATTTCAATATGCAAAATTCTCAGTGATTGAATTGGTCCTAACCTACCGAAGAAATCTTTCAGGTACATGGCGAATATCAGCCCTTGGCAAATCTTTTAGTCGTTGATTTTCGTTCTCAGCCGCGGGAAATGCCATTACCAAAGCCACTGAATACGTAACTTTCGGTGTTTCTTTTCGTCTTTCAGTTTTCTTCCCCTTTTAGGAAAGTCTGAATGTCACTGTCAGTAAGCGATACGGATTTTTCAGTGTTTTAGCAACCATAATCTGAAACGACCTTGGATTGAGAATGGTGAAGGCTTTGCCGTTCATTCATCAACCTGACCGAGTGGCGCGAAAGGCAAGAACGTGTCTGCAGCAGATTGGTGATATCAAACGCGTGAAAAAATAATGTATTTTTTACGTGTGTTGTTACGGCTTTTTTCAGGACTGGAAATCCTTGTTTAACACTGTAGTTTATATGATAAGAAAAAGTATCAAGCTCGGCAATTCCGTATGATATTTCTATCGACCTTTTCATTACTTACTTCAGCAATTAGTTTGAAGGCTCAAAATGGTTAAAAAAAATATGATATGGTAAACAAGTAACACATTCTACCCTTTTTGTCCATGAGGTGCAAAATTCCATATACAGATGAGTGAACAGCTTATTTATGCATGGTGATTATGAAGTACTTTGTAAATTTTATTGAGGACACAATTTTTTATGTTTAATCAAATGTTGAACCTAATAACAATAAATTCTTTACCTACAGGTCAGCTTGTTGGCTTTGGATCATAGCAAATTTTTGTTACACCTTGCATTTTAGTACTAATGATATCATAGCTGAACTTTAGGTATTAACCTCATAGCAAAGTTTTGTGAAGTTCTTTCGTACAGAAAAATTATTCAGAACAGTTCATACTTCCTGGTGTACATTGTAAATGACAGGGTAATTTGGCATTATCATCTGAATTGATAACGTAAATTAGCCACTGTAAAGAGTTTGAAAGCTGAGGTTTCGAGCGTTAGCCCTTCGTCTAACTCTGACGAAGGGCTAATGCTGGAAACGTCAGCTTTCAAACCCTTTAAATATGGTGGCCAATTCACGTTATCAGTTCAGTTGATAATACCAAATTACCCTTGTACGCCCTCCCACCGAAGCAGCACCACAGTGTCTTCATAAACTTATCCCCTTTATTCATTGTGAATGACATTTCATGGAACTGAATTCTTTGTGATAACAACTAATAACATAACACAGTAGCATATATAGCATTTTGTAGTAATGTAATGTTTCCTCTACGCTTAACCAGCACGTATTGTGCAACAGTGCTTTGTATACTCCTAGGAAAAAAGCGTAATTATAGCTTGTATTTTAGATACCAAGAGATCATAAGGGGACCTTTTCATCTCTTATAGATACAAACTCAAGTAGGACTAGGCATTCACACTTATGCAGTGTATGAGTCGTGTCAAATGACCTCGCCGCTGAAACATAACTTTATGGAAATCATATTTCTTTGTAGGGTTTGGTGATGGCAACTGATTTGTTTCAGTAAAGCATGAACCATAATGCATTGCCTCTATTAAACAGCCTTTACGATGACAAGTAATGTGTACCTTCATCATCAAAAATCTTTATTCTATGACTAATTCTCTGCTTCTTATCTTTCCAAAAGACCACAGGAAATGGCTACTTTAAGGATTTTCTCGCTTGAAGTACATGTTTGACAGGCGTTTCCCTATAAATCGTGAGACCAAAACTACCAGTAAGACTAATGATGAAATATGGGAATACCGTAAATCCTTTAAGTAGTGCATTTAGTGCCGACCGTGTTTACCCGGTGAGAATCCGCCCTCGAAAAAACGCCGTTTGTGAACGCTGTAAATGTGTGCAAAATTGTCAATGTCACCCTCTCCTTGGTTAAGTTCCGCAACCTATCTGAAGATTGCAGCACTTTTTCTAGGATTATAGGCAAGAAAAAGAATAATAAATATATCAAGTAAGGTACAGCTCGGTAGTCCAAACCATCCTTTGAAGTTTATATAAAATGGCAAGATATTGGAACAAGAAATGTCTCAGTTTTAGTTAATATTTGCGAAGGATTTGCCGTAATTAGTGCCACGCTTTCTTAAAAAATACGAGTCTATTTTTATTTTGGCGTATGATTGAGCTTTGGCGGAATAAATTTACCAATTGAAATGACAAGCTAAGTATTACATCTCTGACATTTTATAAGTAATCTTATTTCATGAGAGTTTTATGTAAATGAGACTGAATTATGATTACATTCCAGTGAGAATTCTATAGTCCCTAAGGTGAAACTTCTCTAACTTTAAACGTACTGGTGTATATTTGAGAGAGTATTTGTGGCTCTATTAAGACTTTAATTTCGGTTTGCGCAATCACCGAGTGAAGAATATTAAAGTTGATTTTAATTGTTGAAGTATCTACATTTAAATTTCTCTCGGGATCTACAATAATCAGTCTTATCAAAAAAAAGAGGAGAATAAGCTTTTGGGTGGCGTGCATCTTTCCTTCACAGGTCTGAATGCTCAGAAGCAGTGCGTAAGAGCAGTAAGAAGCAAACGCAAAGTGCAACGCTGAATATGGCAGCATCACGGATGATGTGACAGCAACATGGTGCATGGGTATTGTTGCTAGGGAACAGTATCTTTACGAATGATTCAATAATTAATACTAGACCCCTGCACACACATTTGAAACCCTTGAAAATTTTGGAGCCGTTCTCTCCATAAGAACCTCAAAAAACTAGATAGAAAAGCCGATAAAAATTCCGATTGCTTTTGTGTCGAAAATATTGCGTCGAGTGGCTCAAAGCGTCAACCGCCTCTACCTTCTTTCTCATTAGCATAACAAAAGGAAGTAGTGTTGATTTCAAATGTGAACCATGAATAATTTATTCTACAGCATTCCCTTTGGACCACAGAAAATAAGGTGATCTAAGGTTATTGTTTGAAGCGGAATAGTAGTAGATGTAGAGTTTTAAAATTCGCGTGTGGACCTACTGCTCAGCCAATAAGTTTATATGTCGTAATTGCCGCTGCAGGTGTTTTTTGCTCAGTCACTAATCATGCACATCCTAATAACATGAAACTCTTGTGAAATATCCTTTGTCAACTAACTCCGCCGATACATGTCACGCTAGGAGACAGTTTTGGTATCTGCCTGAACTGCCTATAATTTGAGCGCTCATGCGGGGATGGCACTAAGCACATTAAACGAGCTTATGAGTTTTCAATTTCTCAAAAGCCTCATTCGCTAATAACTTTAATAAGTTTATATAGCTTTCTGAATAAAGAAAAGGATCGGTAAGACTTCGATGGTTATTTTCATAGGTAGTCTCTTGAGTGTTCTAATTAGAATTCTGCCTTTAACACCATACATATTGCACCTGCTGTAATTTAACTACTTCCCGTCCAACGGAAATTTTAATAGATATCTTTTGCATACTGGTTTAACTGCGTCGCCGACAATTTCCACCAAGAATGAGTCTTTGGGCCCACTTTAAGAGTGGAGAGATAACTTTTTCTTTCATCCTGTCTGTTTTGATAGGTATCAGACTGGCATCAGTTTTTGCATGCATTGGTAAGTGTAAATGTAGGAATAAATTAGAGTGCTCTAGTTTTTTTTTTGTTTTTGCGTCTTCTAAGGATGTGTTAAGTTGAACGTGTAGTGAGGTATAGGTCCTTATAATATAAGATTACTAGAGCTGGGTTATATCGTCTGAATTTTTTTGTGTTCGTCATTTATTTGCCATTCCTTCGCAAGATTACAGGTGAGACGGGCTGCCGTGAGCCGCAAAATTAAGAAAAATAGTTGTCACCATGTTTTTGTCACATCGAAACGATTATAGGAGCAAATTTCAACTATACCCTAACGTCCAATTAAATCCTGAGAAACGTTTGTCAGGACCATTTAACATGGAAATGCTAATAACCGATTGCTACTTCTAAGGTCGTTTCACAATTTTTACCTCTTACTTGACAATCTCGTCTGATGTTGCCATCATGGAGAAGCCTTCCGATTTACATGCAGGGTTTAAATAGATATTTTATAATCGTTACCCCTTATTTACGTTCAACCTTACAATTTATCTTGTCTAAGAAAGTACAGAAGGAAACACATCTCAATAGGATCAAATATTGGTTGATATACTGATTATCCGTAGCAATTATAAATTTATTTTTGAGATAAGATGGAGCTGGTACGAAGACCCAACAAATGAGGCGAATTGATCAAAAGAGCTGTTTTCAAAGCTCGGAGGGATCATGCGCTAGGCAAGCAGGTGAAACTTTCGCGGCAACTTCAAGCGACTCCTTTGAAATCATCTGCGTGAGAGGAAGCGCCTAATCGCCTGCAATGCTCGGTGTCTTACATTTCTTTTTCATTTTTTCAAAGTTCTGGCCGCAGTCGTTAGTGATGCATTATATGAACATATCATCTTCATCCAAGATAGGAAAGCCAAATACGACGAGAATGTTGCAAAGCTTTGGAAAATTACTGGTGCTTTGTTGAAGCATAGGCAATGTATTTAGCGTGTCATTCAGTCGGCCACTTGGACTGCACAAGGAAAGGAAAAGAAACGCGAAATGGAGGGTTTGGATTAAATTATAAAGCACGGTGTTTTCTTGGAAACATCATTAACGATAAGCAGGAAGGTATTTGCCTACAAACTTTCTCAAGATATAAAGTACGGGAAACAATGCACTAAATGCAAAAAAAATGCTTTAATTAAAATGAATCATTATTTGCCTTGTTTGCCACAGGTGACGAATGCCGCATCATCTTGTTCGAAGAGCCGATCGCAAATAAAGCAATCAAGGGGCACGTGATCTGGAGTAAGGAGGTACCTAACGAGGGGAGTTGCCGTATGATGTGTTATATGGAGCCTAACTGTGTGTCCATTAACGTGCGACCATCACAAGGCGGAAAATACAAATGTGAATTGAATAACGCCACAGCTGATGTAATCTCCCTCGAAAACTGGGACACTGCCTACTATCTGGCTGTTGAGGTAAACCCGTTGCGTATTACTGTTACTGTATTCTAGCTTAGTACATTGAAGAAAACCTGATAGACAAAGAAAAGAGAAATCTTTCAGGGAAAAAAAGGAGAAGGGCTTAAAGCAGACTTAACCCAAATTTTCTGTCAAGTGGAGACCAGGCTCATCCTCGAGCAAAGGCATAGGGCGCTTTACGACTGGGTGTTTTGAACCAGAAACAGATCAATCTCTACAGCCAACAAGACCAACGTAAAAGATGAGAAATAAATTAATGTAAACGAGCACAAACTGCTTTGAGTGCACGCAGTCAAACGCACGCGTAAAAAAACGGCGACTATCGTTTAAGCTTTAATCTGATCACAGGCGCCCAAGCTCCAGCTGTGAGATGATCATCTTGCGAAATAAGAGTCATGGCGAAATTATAAGAGTTTGTATGGGAATATTTACGACCGCTCTTAGGAATAAAAAATACGTAGTAAACCTAGAAATAGATAACTCGCTAAAATGGGTTCATTTCAACCTAGTAAGCGGTCCGATAGCAAGCGATGCACTGTGGAAGTAAGGTGAGGTATTTTTATTAAGAATTTGACTGTATTTTTTATTCCTAAGAGTGGTTGTAAATATTCGCATACAAATTCTAAGAATTATAATTCGCCATGACTCTTATTTCGCAAGATGATCAATTCACAGCTGGAGCTTGGGCCGCCTGCGATCTGATTAGCTAAGACTTATAATTTCGCCATGACTCTTATTTTGCAAGATGATTAACTCACAGCTGGAGCTTAGGCCGCCTGTGATCTGATTAGCTAGGACTGCCGTGGTATGTGTTTTCTGGACCAATCGCAAAGGGTAGTGATGCAAGACCGTCGAATCAGAGTCATTTTCATGTTCATTGTTCTTTAAAGTTGTTTGACTTGTAAATCATATTGCTTAATTCTTCTTAGAATCCCTGTCGTAGCAACCCATGTTATGATGGCAGTACCTGTCAAGTTGGATTCACAGGGAAAGGTTTTCGCTGCATTTGCCCCATTGGATTCCCATCAATAAAATGCTTCAAAGGTATTGTTACATGTTTTCTCTTACCGAATACCTGATATTTTTTTGCTTCAAAACTAACTCTTAGATAAGCTGGTCTAAGAGAAGTCATCTTTCTTACTATACATATAAAAGATTAGTTACAATGAAATAAATGATACTAGCTTTGACCTGCGGAAAAGGAAAGAGCTTTGCAAGTAGGCCACAACTGATACGATTGCGGTAATTAAAGAAGCCTGGAAAAATTCGGACTTCGACAGTATTTGGGAGGCATGGGTTCGAATCTTGACGAAGTCTTCTTTCTTTTTTTTCCGGCTTCTTAACTTTTCTCTAATCGCTTTAACTGTGGCTTATTTGCGAAGATCATTTCTTTGCCTGTGTAACAAGATTAAAATTTTCCTCATGTCAGTCTAAGCATTAATATTGGAACAATAGTTTCCAGGAAAAAATTTAGGGAATGTATTGAAACGCACACGAGTTATTCATAAAAACGTATTTTTGAACTGAATTATTTAGTCCACCAAAATGTGAATAGTCAATTACGACATGTCAATATAAATGACTCCCGAAGGGTTTCTTGCGGCAAAACATCCTGGTCCTTGAATTTCAATTGCGTAAACATCTCCTGGTTCATTTGCACGTGGAGATCTTTGTTATCTGTCTGCGAATTCAACTAGAAAGTGAATGGAGAAAGATCAATAGGAGAAGAGGTGAAAGTGAAAAAGAAGCCTGGCTGTCAGCAGAAGAAGTTAACAAATTCGATCGTGGTTTAGGCAATCTTCGCTGCTCGCATTCGATCAGCAAGTTTTTCCGCGCCGCTCTTAAGTTTAAAAAAGGTAGTTGAAATCAAGACTTCCATTCAACAGAATAGAATTAATGGTCTGTCTCGATATGTTACCACGAGTTACTGGTAATTGTTTGAGTTACCCGCAAAATAAGTTTTCGCTGAGAGTCTTCTGAGACTCTGCAGGGCGCTTCTGTGATTCAATTAGTTTCTCAGAGTTTCTCAGTGTTGACATAACTCGACGTGTGGTCACCCAAAGATGTGAATTGTTGGGAAAACTTTAGAAGCAAAAAGAACCAACGTAATTCGTTTTTACGCGAATGTGCCTTCTTTGAACGATTTAATAGGGTTATAAACTTTACGTATTTCCTTGAAGTTTGGTCCGAAGACTCCCAAGATACCAACCTAAAAGACCATATGGGGGAATTCCGTTTTTCAAAATGATCTCTTTCAGTGGCCTCCGACGCAATGCGTATTGTTAAAACTTTGATCACAAACTTGACAGATAAATTGCAAAGTAACCGAGTAGAATATCGAAAAATCCTCACATGGTGTTGAAGACCAACCCCACAGGATTGAAACTGTGCAAACATTTTTATTTATGCTATCAGATTTGATACGCAATTAATTCTCTCAAAGAAACATCGTCCATTTGGATTGGATCAAGCTTAAAACGAAATAGTTTTTGTCGAATAGTGCATTTTATAACCTTCCCATTAATATATAGTTTATGGTAGTTATGCCTCAAATAGCGCGTTAAATCTTTTTTTTTGTGAAGGGCATCCGCGAAGGTGTACTGTATCCTTAATTGTGGTTAAGGAATCTAACCGTAAACCTTTCTTCTTACTATTAGCCAAATCTTGCAGCGACGTGAAGATGCTCGATTCAACTGTGAAAACCGGCCCATATGTCATTGACTCTGACGGTGAAGGAGAATTGAAGCCATTTAACGTCACGTGTAACATGACCGACAAGGACGGTGTTGGCGTGACAGTCATAAGTCACGATAGCGAAAACAAAACACGAGTGGACAAATGTAAAGACCCAGGCTGTTACTCACGCGACATCCTCTATACAGGAGCGAGCTTTCCTCAACTGGCGAGTCTCACCAGGGTTTCTAAGTACTGTGAACAGTTTATAAAGTACGATTGTAAAGCTTCAAAAATATTCACCTCAAAAATATCCTCGAAGGCCCAAAAGAAAACTTTCGCCTGGTGGATGTCACGCGATTTCATCAATATGACCTATTGGGACGGAGCAGAAGCTAATAGTAATAAGTGTGCATGCGGGATAAATGGCACGTGCGTAAACAATGAGAGATGCAACTGTGATACAAATGACAAGATATGGCGCGAAGACAGTGGCCTCCTCACTAACAAGACGCATTTGCCCGTCAGGCAGCTGAGGTTTGGAGATACAAATAATGATAGAGAGGAGGGTCACCATACCTTAGGAAAGTTTAAGTGCTATGGAATTGCTTAGTTGTAGTGAAAAAAAAAACTGACTTTCGAACTTGCTCTTCTTCAGCTTTGAGTATGCAGCAGGACCAAGTTGTTCGAGATACAATTAATATGGCACCTTGTATCTAAGTTTGTGCTTTTAATTCCTACAAACACTTGTTGAGTAATTACCAATAATCAGGATGGCAGAGGCTCGAGTCTAGATGAAAGAAGACCGAATTTTATTTCGAGGAGTGTTACTGTATCACATACTGAAAAACATACTTTGATCCAGAAACAGAATTGTTCTTCCGTAAAATAACTTCAATGAAACAATTGCAAGTAACACCCTAAGGAAGCGCTAGTCACTCAGCCGCTTCTCTTGGAAGGGACTATATATAAGTTTAGTTATATGTTACCTAAAGTATTTGAAAGTTAGCTGTTAATTAAAATTATATAACCAATTTGGTCATAGCTAAATTGAAGGTTACATTTGCATTGCTAATTACTCTTGCTATATATAAGTCCTAGCCGCGTTTGACTAGTCAAATTGAATGAAAGTTTATAGATGTGACATTTCGGGGAATTTGCCTTATGTAACGCCTTGATATTTGATAATTTTAGTGTGAAGTATTCAATGAATTATTGCGATACCCCTCTATGAATTCACCAATAAAATAAAACTTCACCACCCAGGTGGAACTTTCAGTCAATTTAATTTGTTTTTTATAATCTCTTGTTTTAATATATAGTCATCCAATTGATCCGTATGTCGTGGATATTTAACTCATGACAAACTACAGTAGGCATTTCGTCACAAATTTCTCTGTTTGTAAGTTCTGTTTTTTGTTCAATAACTAAGAAAACAGAAAGCCCATGACTTAGACTATCTATCACGCAATGCATGAGAGGGTGTTTTACTCTTATTAGGACTCATCAGGGGGTTATTAAGCCCTTGAACGTCTACCAATGAATTAAGGCGTTACGATGCAATACTTTTCTACTCGCTTTGATTTTATTGGGATAATTGTCTTGATGAAACTCATTTTTCTATCCTTCAGAATCTATATAACTCCTGTCTCCACGGTGCGACCTGCTTCTATGGATTTACAGATAAGAAATAAATTTCCCTATGTCCAGTGGGTTACAAGGGGGAACAATGTGAAAAAGATAACGAAAAAACTATTTCCTGTGGTATTCAGACTATTGGTACACAAACAATATGGAAAGAATGAATCAAACGTTGGGTAATGTGTCAGAGGTTATTGAGACACGAACTGTATTGCAAGTGATGTATTGTGGGTAATTTGTTGTATTGGGGTTTAGTTATTATAAGTAATGTGTGCCATTGTAAATAAATATTTTATTACAAAAAAGTTGTTTATATTTGGCACGGGATCTGATCGAAACGAACGACGTGCATTCAGAGTGCCCAAGTTAAATGGGGATTGACCCTATGTTAAATTTTTCTCTAGCCTAGAACCATGATATCTGTAGTTTGCTACGTCATTAATTTGTCACCTTTGTAGTTAACATCAAATATTAATCTTTTTCACCAGAAGTCAAGTCTTGCAGTGAATTGAGGACTCTCGACGCCATAACAAAAACTGGCCATGATGTCATTGATCTTGATGGTGAAGGAGGACTGGTGCCTTATAATGTCACCTATGACATGACTAATAAGGATGGAGTTGGCGTGACTGTCTTACGTCACAATAGCGAAAACAGGATAACAGAAGACAATTGTAAATCCTCCGGCTATTATTAACGTGACATTCATCATACGGGTGCGAGCTTTCCTCAGCTAATGGGCATCACCAGGCTTCCCCAGCTTTGTGAACAGTTCGTAAAATGCGAGTGTAAATCTTCAAAACTATTCACCAAAAACATAGCATACGCCTGGTGGGTGTCATCTGATTCCATCAAAATAACCTATCGGGACGGAGCAGCAGCTAAGAGCAGTAAGTGCGCAATCGGGATAAAAGGCACAGGCGCAAATGTAGCTCGTAAGTGTAACTGTGATGCGAATGACAGAAAATGGCGCGAATACAATAGCCTCCTCACTAACAAGACACATCTACCCATCAAGCACCTGAGATTTGGAGATACAGATCTCGATCACGAGGAGGGTTACGATACATGTACCTTGAGAAAGTCGAGGTGCTATGGAATTGCATAGCTGTAATTGTGATATTGACCGTGCTCTTCCTTCAGCTACGAGTAGAGAATATAGCAGGGCTAAGTTGGTCGAGATACGATTAGTATGGCAGCTCATATCAAGCCTCGATATGATCATAAAACTAGTTTTTCATAATTCTGATCAAATTGAAGGGTGCTATCTATGATGATATTTCAGCGCAAAAGCCTCTTAAGTTCTTAAAAAAATCTTGGAGTGATCACCAATAGTCAGAGGAGCAAAGGTTCTAATGTTTTTGGAAGACGTTAGACTTATTTCAGGAGTGTTCCTTTATTAATAATTGCTAATATAATCTGTTCCAAAAACTAAACAGAGCCTTCACGTGTTAACTCTTTGAAAGTCACATTATTTATTTATAGCCACCCAAATGATTTGCATGCCATGCATAATACATAGATTTAGCCAAGCCTAAAAGCGGAGCTCGCATTTTTTTTTTCCCGCACGTCTCAAGGGCACAACGCCTTGCCCCGGCCAGGACTAGAATTCGGGTCGTCCGACTCGGAGCCCAGTGCACTGACCACTGGATATTGGACAAAGCCTTGGCGTTGGCGTGCCCGCGGTACAGTTGACACGCATGTTAAAAGTAGCACTTTGTACGGTCGTACGGTCGTTCATCCAAATTTTTTCGGCTTGATGGGTTACTACTATTTTGTATAATAATGGGGGCTACGCTCTGCGAGCTTCGCTATTATAGTAATGATAAACTAAGATTGTTGTCATCTATTTCTTCGTTGATTTATCCGATTCTTTTTTTTGATCAATGACTGATAAAACATGAACCCTCGACCTGGACCAACACTCAAGGCCATATCACCCAAAAAATCACCCTCGAAGACCCAGGAACAAAATGTTCAGGGAAGAGGAATATAAAACAGCGGTTTGGGTGTGATGGCGAACGTTTATTTGACGATCCAAAGGGCGTTTAGCGTTTTCCTCTTTCGCCTTACAAGTACACTTCGCGTTGAAACGAAACTGCCGTCTTATTATCCCGCTTTTTCCCGCATAGCTTCCCTTGGCATCCAGGGATGCCAAACAACGCACCAGGAGTTCTCCTAATCAGGACGGATGTTAAGCAGTTGAACTCTTGGGAACGTCCATCAGCTGCCCCTCCAAGAACTAAGGCGAGTGCAAAGCATTTTTCTAAGCCAACCGCGACTGCTGAATTAACTGCACCAGTAACGTGCCAGTACCAGTTTCAGTTATACGCTTTGGATAGAGGAATTTGATAGAAATAACTTCAGCTGATGAGGCTAAAAAATGGGTTGAAAATAAAGCAGCGGTTTCGTTTCGACGCGAAGTGTACTTGTCAGGCCTAAGGATGAATTGAGTGGTTAGTAAACAGAGGCTCGTGATGGGTTTTCGAAGGATTTCAGAGAATTACTAAGAGCCTAAGATGTTCGAAGCGAAGTTAAAATTTAACAATTACTCAGAGAGGGCTGAAAAGGGAAGAACAAACAGAAACATAGTAATAAAGGGGGTAAGTTTCTAAAGATATTGTGGTGCTGCGTTGGTGGGAGAGTATAACAGGGTAATTAAATTTTATTAATTGAGTTTATCATGTAAATTGGCCACCTTATAGAGTTTCAAAGCTGTCGTTTGGAGCGTTAGGCCTTCGTCAGAGCGAATAGAGGAATTTTGACACAGTGACCCTACATTTCCCCTTTGATTCGAAGCTGTTCGACGATTGTTTTATCGAGACCCATGGTCTCTGGCTGTCCCGAAATTTCTGAGAAGTCGTTTGGGCATTTTGCCTTAAAACACCTGTCGTATTGTTGTGTGGTCCTCTAAATACACAAATTCCTGTCACGCACACAACAAATAAACTTGTAACAGGAGCTGTCGTGTTTTTCCAGCATACCGTTTAAACTACGCGAACAAATAAGCTGTCTCTTTAAGAATGATGTGCTTCAAGAGTGCTTTTTCAACTTCCTCATTTATCTTCATCATTTTATTTGGAATCATTTCGCCACCGGTTTACGCTGACGCTGGTGAGTAATGTCATAAGAAAGCAATGACCTAAAGCAGCTGAATATATGATGTGTTCATTGCCCTATTTACAAGCATAGAAACACGAATTCAGTGAAAAAAAAAAACGAAAGCCTCAATTCATAACCGTTTTATATTTTGATTAAATGTGGTTGGACAATTCTTTGGTGAAATAGCCCTGGTCTCTGTCGATATTCAAAGAGACCGAGTCAAAGAAAAAATTAAATTAACACAATAAGTTAGCATCGACTTCTGCTTGCTATGTTCTACAACATAGCCCTTTGAATTCAATTTCCTAAACGCACTTAATTTTAAACGTCTCAAGGAATAAATACCAAAGCAGAAAAGCATAGTACTAAGCTTTCATAGTTTTGAGTTCTTATTGTTTCGTTCGAACCTTTAATCAACGGGAAGTCGAGATCCCACACCTGCCTCGTGTCTTCGAGAGCACAGTTCGAGAAAGATCTACTGTTATGAAAAATAGGACATAAAATACAAGGCAAGGAAACCAAAGTTTTTGACCGTTTAAAACATTGCACTAGATAAAAATGATTAAGTCTGCTTACCTAGCTATGTAACGTGTTAGAAAATTTTAATTTTGTCTTTTTATTTGTCTTTACAATCGTAAATAAGTAATGCCAACTTCCTCCTATTAACGACATGCAGTGATAATTTCGGAGCGCGAAAATGGCTTATGGAGAATTCCCCTAGTGAAGTTTTTTCTTTGTAATTATACTGAGATCTTTTGAAGTTTATGACTCAGTCTGTCGTAAAATCGCTTTTCTCGCAATCGCGCTTCCAGAGGGATAGGAGTTAAAAAAAAATGCTTTCACGTTGTCAGGTAATTCTCAATTCAGAAATGGGACTGTTAAAAAAATAAAGTCTAAATACGTGGATCGAGGTATAACCGAAGCCGAGAACCTCTTTAGCGTTTGTACATTCTAGTCAAGCGTTTTCAGAATGTCTTTAACTGAAGTATGCTTAGCCATTTGAGTTCACCGAATGAATCAGGCGCCAATCAATTCGCGAAAGTTTCAAATCGAAGTACCTCCAAATCTGAAGAATTCTTGCTAAATGTAATTTCGCAAAATATTTCCAGGAGCTATTATACGCTCCTGACACTCATCAAAAGCTTAATGAGATGCAAAAGCTCTGCTTATAAAATTGCTTAAATGTTGATACAATTTCAACCAGGGATTGTGATTTTAAAGTTGATGACAAAGAATTCTTGAAAGCAATGGAAAGTTAAAATTGAAAATTAACGTATTCCGTCGGAACTTTCTTTGGTCTTATTCAGGTGACAACTGCCGCGACATTTTATTCATGGAACCAATACCAAACAAAGTGATTACGGGCCACGTGATCAAGATTTTAGAACTACCTTATGAAGGAGAGTGCCACGTGATGTGTTATATGGAGCCTGATTGTGTGTCCATCAATGTTAGACCTTCTTACGGAGGGAAATACAAGTGTGAGTTAAATAACGCCACAGCTGATGTAGACCAATTAACTGCCGTTCAGGAAGTAGCTGACAGTTATTACCGAGCTATTGAGGTAAATAAGCATTTCAGTCACTAGATTGGAGCTTATTATCTTTTTTTTTCTTTCTTTTTTTTCTTCTTGCGTGCGAATTAAGAAGGTGGTTTATAGGTTTTATGAATGGAACACTCATGATCAAAGTTATCTTTGAGCTGTTCCTGAGACGACATCATCTTTGCTGCTAAAACATTGCAGCCCATAGAAACAACCTAAAACAAGCAGAAAAAAACAAAATCAAAAGGATAAGAAAATTTATATACAAAGCCGGTCATTACAGATAAATTCGATACGATGACTGAAAACGCCAGTGTGATCTGCATGTGATGGCTCAAGACTTTTTAAAATGGTATCAGTGTAAAATTTGCCAAAAATCGCGATGTATCAAGTTGTCTACGCCTCTTACCAACAGCACCATTTCAAGATGTAAAATTAAAATGACATTTTAAAAAATGAAGTTAACGCAAAAAGAAGAACAGCACACCACATTAATAAGATGTGCACATCTGCTAACAAACGTAAAAGTTTTCCAGCACAGTTAACCAGTTAATTAAAGTACTGTGCGAAACTCTTTTTTCACGGGCTATCTTTTATATTGGAATTTTCCCATTTAGCCGCTGAAGTCAACTATTATTCGCAACAATTATTCGCCGACGGCGAAGTGGATGTTGTTGAATGATATTCTTTTCGCTTTCGGCGAATAATGTCTTTAGTATGATTGCTCGGCTAAGCAGATAAGCAGCACTTTTCCACTAGAATTTAACAGGTTTATTCAATTCAATTAGCAAAAACAATCTCTATTGCTGTGCAGAATTTTATTTTCTTCTATTCGGTGTATCACCTCTCGAGCTAAATTTTCCAAAACGTGAGGCAGCCACCTTGAAATTTGGCGCCCCTGCTATGATCACCTCGCGCAAGGTGATTATAACGAGATATGATGCAATGTTCCACCAATCAGAGCGCGCGCATTTCTATTATCACTGGAGTAATTAAATTAAATACAAATAACATGTCTAGTCTGATTGGTTCAGATGTATTTTAAATTTCATTCAACATGAGCGTGTTTTCACCCGAAATTTTCTCTTAAAGATAGTTACAAAGCAGTTGTTGATACGTTTATATTTATAACTTTGACGTTTGAGTTATTATTTAATGACGATAAATTTTAACAGAATCCTTGCGATAGTAACCCATGTTATAATGGAGGTACCTGTCAAGCTGGATTTACAAATAAAGGTTTTCGTTGCATTTGCCCATCTGGACTCCAAGGAATAAAATGTGAAGGTAATATAAATGAGCGAACATAGTCATTGTCATAAAGTGGAAGTTTTAGCATCACCCACTGGGCAACCCACGGGCATTTGAATGTCGTCCCTGCCCGTGGGTGAGGGGGGGGGGGGGGAGGAATTTAAACCTCGCCTGGCTGAGTTGGGAAATTTGAACCAAAAGTGTCAAGTCTTTTTCAACGGAATACGCGTTTTGAACTTAAAACATGGAGATGTTTAAAAGCAAAAAGTTCGTTTTTGCGAGCACATGGCTCAGAAGTTCCTGGGAATGCTGGGGAGTTGTTGAACCTTCAAATCAGATCGACGCATAACCAGTTTACTTAGAAGATCACGATCGAGGGCGAAGGTTACGGGACTGAGGATCCATTCAGAATAGATTCTAAGAAACCAAGGATGGGAATCACGGTCAGTGCCCGTTCATCATAATTTTATCATCACAACCCTTGGTCTCGAGACACTAAATAAGTCTTCCTTTGATAAATCAATGGGCTAACCTGAATTTTTCTTCATTTTAAGCTAAATGGCGACTTCCTCGTTGTAAAACAAATATCCTTCTATTCTTTGGGTAGAATAGTTAGTCCCCGTAAACGCAATTATGATTATTTTGTGAAGAATTACTGTGCGCAGGGTGCTACTGTTCCGCTCAAGGCGTGCGTAATGCTAACCTCAGCAGAAGATATTAAAATGTATCACATCTTTTCTTCTCATTAGCGGTCAAGTCTTGCAGCGAGCTGAGGATAATTCACCCTGAAGCAAAAAGCGGCAATTACGTCATTGATCCTGACGGTGATGGAGGACTGATGCCGTATAATGTCACCTGTAACATGACTGACAAGAACGGAGTTGGCGTGACAGTTATAAGTCACGACAGCGAAAGCAGAACACTGGTGGATGGATGTGACCCAGAGGGTTGTTACTCACGCGAGATCGTTTACACAGGAGCAAGCTTTCCTCAGCTAGCGAGCCTCACCAACGTCTCCCTGCACTGCGAACAACAGTTTAAGTTTGAGTGTTTTCATGTAAGGATGTATAAGAACAGAGACTTTGCCTGGTGGGTGTCACGTGATTCCATGAACATGACTTACTGGAATGGATCTGTATTTAGCCCACGCAAATGCGCATGTGGAATGGACAACTCTTGCCAACAGCGCGCAAATAATAACAATAAAATAAATTACTGTAACTGTGACATGAACGATAACACATGGCGGGAAGACACAGGTCTACTCACAAACAAATTACATTTGCCAGTTAAACAACTGAAATTTGGAGATTCAGGAACAGCAAAAAACAACGTTAATGAACACGGTTATCATACGTTGGGAAAGTTCAAGTGTTACGGAAAACACTGAAAGTAAAACCTGGTCGTTGTTTCTTAACTCTTTCCTAAAGCCTTTATTCTTAACAGCTCACGGATTCATGGAAAACAAGATTCCCATCACGAAATTCAAGTCAGTGCATTTAGGTGTTATGTCCATTCAAATTTCCATTCTCTAGGTCTTTTCTCTCAAAACCTTAACCCTTTAACTCCCAGAGGTGACTGACATGAAATTTCTCCCTATAATATCCATACATTATTCAACAAACAGCTAATGAGAATATTCAACAAACAGCTAATGAGAATATTCAAACTTGCTATCTTTATCTAGCACCAAGTTCTTACAACTAATTTACAAGGAAATGTGTAGCAGCTACAGGGGAGAATTAACACAGATTATGAGAGTTAAAGGATTAAGGCAGAGCTTCAATTTACAACCTTTTTGTACATGCAGAATTTAATTTTATGCATGGTTGGATTTACATGAAGACACAGACCACATCTAGGGACATCACCTGCCTGTAAAACTTTCTCAGCTCAATGGCTTACTGAATCTTTGCTTCTTACAAGGTTCCATGAACATGTTCTGCTTTGCCTAAGTAAAATGGTAATAAAATTCATGTCCTGTTTCTCCATGCCCACAGACCTTTCCATGGATGAGAGATATTTATATAATGCTAGAAATAGTCATGGATAAGTGAAGTGCGTTTGATCTCTGGTAAGTTAATATAAACTATTGACTGCTTGGGAGGGCTGGACAAGGTCATGACATAAGGACTGAACACAGAATTGTGCAGGGACATACAACTCATATGATAACACTCATTATTAACATTTCAATATCCTGCTAGTTCATTTACTTGCATTAGGGACTAGTAGATGTACATTTTAGATGCCACTAATACCCTTTACAGATCAGAGTACTAGTAAAACCAAATTAAGTGTTATATTGTACAATCGTTAAACTTTGTTGAATATCAAAGCCGTTTACAGTGAAGTTAGTCAGTAAATGACACAGCCATGCTTGGAGAAAAAGAATGCCAAGTGCAGCCAATAGGGGTCCAAACCACAACCTTCTAATTGGTACTTTGGGTGCTTTGCCACTGAACTATTGGAGACTCGTAGCAGGCTGGGCTGTTTAATTAGGTCCATAATGATAAACCTCCTGCATACTGCCAGGATAGGAATTTCAATATGTAATGCTATACAGAATGATGATATAAATGAAGATGGTATCAACAGTCATGTTTGTTAAATCACTGGTTGACATGTACATGTATTAAGAGAGGATGAAGGTTGAATAAAATTTATGCCAATAATACAAAATGGTGGTTTTTATATCCAGCAAAACAATCAAAGTCAGTATTATGCATCTAAAACTTATACACGAACAGGCATATTACCACAAGTTTTATAGCATTATCATCTTGGACAATGATCAATAAACACATAGGTTTCAATTTCTGCAGGGCTCAGTCAGGCTAGCTCTGTGCAGTGGATAAACATAACACCTGTAAATCAACTTAGTGGTGAGAACTAACAGATAAGTCTAGATCTCCTCTCTTTTTCCATCTGTTTAACCTGGTTCCACATCTCAGGTGTTAAGGTGCTTTGCCCGTGACTCAGAGACATGAGCCGTGACAACAAAAGCAAGAGATGGAAGTCCTCAGCTGTCATGTTGCTCTGATTTTCTTGCCTGCTTTTCACAAAGTCATCCTGAAGAATCTTCTGCATCTCAGAGGACAAAGAATACTCTGCCAGACGTGCTACACCCAAGAATGCTCGCATGCGCTCCATGGTGACTGCTGAGATCCTGCTCAAAGCCCTCTCCACAGGTTGGGGTGATTGGTGGGGTCTGAGAGCCACGTGACAATCTGCAGGAAGCAGTGACTTTCCTTCTGACAGGATCAGTATCAGTAGATTGGTGGTGAAGTCTGCTTTGTAAAAATTGAAGTCATACTCCAGTTTCTGCCAGGAGATGACATTTCCCAGGGCTGTGACATTGTTGACACCATTTGCATTCAGTTGGCCTGCTTGTAAAGCTGTCTCATCCACAATCAAATTGGTGCTTTGGGACAACTGAAGGATGCTGCTCTTAAGACGATTTGCTGTGTAGTCTTTCTTGGGGACAAAGTTCAGTGAGTTCATGTTGTTTAAGGTCATGGACAGGAAATGACACTTAGGTACAAGGTACTCCACAAGCTTGTGCATTTCTCTCGGAAATGAGTCTGAGGATGGACACCCACTGACATTCAAAGTAAACTTTCCAATAGGCATTATTCCTGTCCAGCTGTAAACTGAGGAAATCAAATGGAGGAGCAAGTACTCTGCAGCTAGGCTATCACCACTCATGAGCTGGGTCAGCAGAGACACCAACTCACCTCTTACATCAGCAAGCTGTTGCAAAATAGGAACAGATGCCTCTCCTGTAATGCTGCTGGGGATAGATGGGTTAGAGTGGACTAGATTGCGAGATGCTAACACATGCAGCCGTGGCACTAGTGAAGGAGGTGGATGATGAACAGCTTGTTCCTCTGGAGTGATTAAGTCATCATGGGCAGGGCCTAATGGCCCTTGCTCATTACCATCTCCCATATCATCATCATTGAACACAGCAAGACAAGGATCAACTGACAACACACCAATGAACTCTACCATGTCGTTTACCTTCAGAGTACTTTCTTGATCATAGACATGGACAAGGCAAGCTGGGCCATGCTCGTTCGGGAGAGGAAAATTTAGATCAGTGCTTAACTGATGGGTTGGAACATTACTACCACCTGATGTGTCACTGGGTCTTGATCTTTTAGCATCATCACTGCAGGCATCATGAGGCACTTGCCATCCTACAGGAGGAAATGAATTTAAATTAGGGTGCTATTCTAAGGGTGGTAATAATGAAAGGCATGGGGTAAGAGGAAGAGGGGCAGGGTGGGGGAAATAATATGAAGACCAATTCTGAGAGAAACAACAATCCTTTCTGAGATGCTCAAAACCAACTCTTTAAAACAACTGTAGTTTGTTTATCCTCTTTGAGATAAAACCCATATTCTATAGGAAGATTTTGCTTATTTTGAAAGAGAAGGTGAATAAAATTCAGAGCCTATTTACATGTTGCCTTTTAAATTCCAAAAGTTAGGAGGGAGGGGGGAATTTTTGCGATCTGGAACCTTCTATGCTAGCCCCTCAGGCTAGGTATTAATGGACTTGAGACATTGGAATGGGAAATACCAGGTGCAGAGAGGCAAGAAGCAAGATATGCGATGCCATGACATTTTCAAATATACCCTTTTTAATTTGTGTATATTGCTAAAAAGCAATTTTTAATCCACTGTTTTTCATTTTGATAATTGAATCTATTCAAGATCTGGTTTATTTTGGAATAGAGGCTTATGAAAAGATTGCAATTAGTTTAGCTTGTCAGGTGTAAATATGAATTACTGCTATTGTAAACACAATTTTCTTTCCCATCATTTTGCCTATAAATTCAGTAAAATATCCTACTGAACATAGAGGGAACTAAAAATTGATAGTTTCTTCGTTTGTGTGTTTATCGTTGTTTGAAATTAATGATTCAAAAGGGACCGCTCTTGAAGCAGTGATAAAGGCACTTACCACGCTGAACAGCTGGGGTATTTTCATCGTCCATGTCTTCCTCGAGATCTCTTTTGAGCACTGTGTTCTTCCGCTCAGAGGCTTGTGCTTCGGAGTTTGAAGCTTCTCTTCTCCCTGCAAATGCTTTTCTCGCCCAGTCAGTCTCTCCTGGTATCGGTACGCAGTAAAATATATGCCTCTCTTTGGTTACGTTCTTCGGTGACTCTAGGCGAAGTTCAAAATTTTCAGGACATCTGACGACATCTTGGTACATTCCACACCGCAATTTCGATGAGTTGTCCACCTTGTTTACGGTTTCATACACGGCCAGGTAGAACTCAGGATCGAACATGTCCTGCACCATGCATCGGAATCTAACTAAATTCTTTGATTTCAAAAGATGACTTGGAATGTCATTCAAAGAAGGAACTCGTTGGAGAGCTTCGCTCTTCTGCAATCGACTCGAGAAAAACTCGCCGACTTTTTCATGATCTGGGCTTCCTGATTCATTGAATATTCCTTCAATAACACTGAGGGGGTCAGTGAGCCAGTCCTCTATGCAAGGCATCGCTAAATGTTCTCCTTGTTTGTATAAATAAACACTTTGCTCGCTGAAACGAAATTTTTTGGCAAGACCCTCGTGGTAGTTTTCCCGGGAAAATTTAGAATTATGCGCGCATGATATTTTGCTGACACCTTGTTGGCTGTATGTGTATGCAGGCTCAAGCATAAATTATTTTCGCTGCGTCTCCGCCATCTTGGTGTAACGATTTGGATCGTGAAAATGTTGGCTGACACGATCCTTATTCTCTTCATTTCAGTAGCTACTGCACTTCTCTCTGAAGGTAAGTTTGTTTCGAAATCAGTTACGATGGCCCAAAACCGTGCCGTGAGATGTGGTTCGATTCAACCGAGTGAATGGCACATCAAGCGAGATTCTTGAACTTGACTGAATTTCTTTCAAGTCCGCTGCCGGTTGCAGGGGTTATCACGATTTTGATATTGCAATTGCGAGGATTCCTCATGCGGAGAGTTATGGTTATATCTTACTGTTACCTGTACATAGTAACTGTTTGATTTTCAATATGGGATCTTTAATTTTTATTAACCCACTAACTCCCAAGATCAAATTGATAATTCTCCCCTCAAGCTGCTACACATTTCCTTGTAAAGTAGTGATGAGAATTAGGTGTTAAATCAAGATAACAACTTCTACCTGATAAGTTTGAATATTCTCATTACCTGTTTGCTGGATATTGTGAGGATATAGTGAGAAGTTTCATGTTGATGACTTCTGGGAGTTAAAGGGTTAACTCCTGCTTGTAACATCAATAAATTGTCTGCTATCAATTTCATACTGTTTCAAGCCTTGGTGTTAAAAAAAATGAGGGAAAAAATTGCCAGACTGAGTGAAAAAAAGGAGAAGAAATCCTTTCCTATCATAGAATTAAATCGTCCCAGTTCTGCATTTGTAATATACATTTTGTGGCTTAATTTATCATTATGTTGTAAATGATCTTGCAACAAACAATCACACTGTTTCCATGTACAATATTAGTTCTTCTAACTTAACTAGCAACTTCAGAAAACAATCAACAACCCTAAATCACCTTTCATATTTCTGTACTGTCACAAACCTATTAACAAGCTCATCGTAATGCTTCAGTCACCACAATTAGTCCAAGTGTAAATTTCTTTCTTTTTTTTTCAATTCAATAAATATGCCACATATGGGGTATAAAAATTAGACAAAGAGTTACCAATGTTTATGGGGTTCAAAATTAAATCACGTTTTATGGCACATGTTCATTGGAGGTGATACCTCATATGCTGACCAAAGATATGCAGGACTTCATAAGAATACATTTCTTTTATATTTAGTTTCTTGTGCAGTAGGGTTATGGTATCACTATCATAGGAAATATTTTATTGTATTTGGCCATAAATCTGTTTTGTATATTTAATAATACTTATCAAGGGAGCAAAAAAAGAGATTGTAGCAACCTTACTTTTATTTTCTCTTTTATAGGAATCACATATCTATTGGTTTACAGAACAGACAAATATAAGAAGTTAACTGCAGAAGTCGAAAAAGATAGTAAAAAGTGTGAGTATCTTTGTTATTGTAGAGTATTCAACTACCTTTTATTCAGTGATCAAGAATCATGGACTACCATACAATGCTTGTAATTAGATATTTTACTTTTACTTAGGAGAGTAGATTTACAATATGATCAAGTAAAAAGAAGTGTCCTGACTGTGGTAATGCTATGTAATGCTTGGTAAACCAATGCACTGCAGTTATATAACGAGAAGAATGTTTACATATTTTACATAAAAGTTATAAGTCATCAAGTGAATCAGCTCTCTTTGATCAAAGCTGTAATATTACAATCTTTCCATAATGATCATAGACATATATTTCATGCTTTTATTTCAGTCAAATTGTTGTACTGTGTCAACTCTAGAGAACATTGACTGAATTTTATTAAAATACCTAGAAGCTTTGTCTTGATGGTATTTACTTCTGTTTCTTAGTGGAGAAGAGAAAAGAAAATATCTTAGATCTTCCCAGACAAGGGGGAGGTCAGAAGAAGAAAATGGGTAAGCATACCAAGAATGATAATTAGTTTTTTCTTTTTGATGTAGTTACTGGATGATATTACTACAACTGCTTTACATGAAATCCTGGTGAAGTGTGTTTTACAATTGTTTGGGTTTGTGCCTTTTCTTAGAAAGAGTTGAGGAGAAGCTTAAGAATCACAACAGAGACCTTTCAATGGTGAGAGACTTCTTTATTTCAAGTATAATCAATATATTCACTTTGTGTGCAAGAATTATATGATTTTACCGTATCTTGTTTAGGTTGACTCAGTTCTGATCAATAATGGCTGTTTGGCACATGATTCCGTGGAAATGATTAACAAGAATCATTGGTTACAACTGAGTTTCAAACATTTGCAAAAAATTAACTTAAAATTCCTTTACTTTGTTTGCCTGGATTCTTTAAATTTTTGCAATCCAAGCTTCAAGAACATTGTTACTGTATACAACAGTATCTCTCATGAAATTCCTCTGTGCGATGAATACCCCCTCCTCTTGCATAGCTTTCCTGTAGTTTGATTTGACTTGACGTCTTGTGTGTTAAATGGTGATATATATTTGTAATTCTTTTGAAGGTGAAAATGAAGTCCATCTTTGCCATTGGATTTACATTTACAGCTCTTATTGGCATGTTTAATTCTATGTAAGTGTGTGACCCTAAAACATTCAGTGATGGTTTTTACAACTGCAATTGTACAGAATATAAAAATTTTTGGATTAATTTTTAGCAATGACATTTCCATATACAGATTATTTACATTTATTACCTTAAATTCAAGTTAGAGAGGGCTGCCTTATATTTGTCACATTGTGTTGTCCTATTTTTCAGATTTGATGGCAGAGTTGTTGCAAAGCTTCCTTTTGTTCCCCACTCTTGGCTTCAAGGCTTGTCCCATCGCAACTTAATGGGCACAGATTTTACTGACTGCTCCTTTATCTTCCTGTATATTCTTTGTACTATGTCTGTAAGACAGGTTTGTGCAAGTTTTTTTTCCTAGCTAGGTATTTAGCAACATTCATAGATACAGTATAGACAACACTGTACTTTCTAATGTTAAGGCCCTTTGGTTGTGAGCAACTTATCAATCACAGAACCTATTGATCAGTTGATCAATCAGTCAGGCAGACAGTTGATTAATTAAACAATCAAACAACCAGTTAATCATCAATTGATCATTCAATTATCCTTCTGCAGAATTGTACTGATTAATTGTCAAAAACTTATTTTTATGTGTATAGATGGGCCCCTCTACCTGCATTCTCTCAGTAACTTGATGTTACCTTTGCTGAACCTAATTAAGATCATTGATTTTCTCTTCTCAGAATATTCAAAAAATGCTGGGCTTTGCTCCATCTAGAGCTGCAAGCAAGGTTGGTGGTCTGCTGACACCACCACAGGGTACCAAGTAAACTTCACAGGAGTTTTGGCCACAGAGTACCCATTTGCCTTGGAATTCTGTACAATACAACTTGTTTGGACCATTTATTGACCTACAGAAACAGTCTTCCTAAGCATGTCTGTCCCCAGGTGTTACAATGCTAGTGAACTTTTAGGAAAGCCCCATATTGTCGTAAATGTACATGTAACTATCAGTACATTTATCACAGTCAAAAATTAAATTTTTGATGTTACTCGGAGATTTCCATTTTTCCTTCGTCTTTTCTTTCCACGTATGTTTTTTTTCCAAGGTGTTTGTTTTTTGCCATGAGAGTTTGGTTGTCGTTAAATACCTTGAAGAATTCGTACAGAACTGATTTGGTTGAGGTAGAGCCGGGATAACCAACTGGCTCTATTGAAACAGTCCAAGGAAAACGTAGTATGGAGGTATTGGTTGTCCCGAATATTCCAAAGCGATGAAATATACCGAAAGCTTGATTTTTTAAAAATATTTTTTGCCAGTCTATAAAGGGAATGAAGCACTGCCTTTTGCGCAAATGGCACTTTATAAAACACGACTCCATTTAACACGTGTGCAAAATTATACTTGCTACGCTCCGCCATCTGTTTTTCAGTTAAATCATTCCAAACCGAAGTAAACCCATCACGCCATGGGAAGAATAAAAACATGGAGATATACAACCTCACTTTACTTTAGTGAGAAATAAATTGAGTAAAAACAATTAAAAAAATTTAGACATACTCTTTTGAAATGGGTTTTGTCTTCGTGATGAGAAGACTAGATCTTTATGAGTTAATATTCTCTTGATCTCTACTTAAAACTTTAATGGCTTTTCTTGGAAATCAGTTAACTAACAAAGGATTAAGCTTTTGGTCAATTTGGCAGTTATTATTCGTGCACCTTTTTTATGACTTCGAGGAAGCAAAACCCCTAAAGGAAATCATGAAAAGCCGGTTGAGGAAGAGTCATCGCGACTAGCTTGCCTTGGTTATCAGGTAGCTGAAGACATGCGCGCATTCACCCATTCATGGTACAGGCTCAATGGAGAAAACGTCAATTCGTATCTGTTAACTTCGTTTATTGCAAAAGGTTTTCATAGAGAGGAACAACTACTTTTTCAATTGATTATCAGATAGGTGGATATGATAGACACATTCAGTGACTATTTTGTTAGTAAAAAACTTGTATTCCTTCACATTGGTTTAGCTTTAGGCAGAGTTAACGTGAGATTTTTTTAAAAATCAATCGAGGCTGAATTGAGGTCATGTTTCTCGTTTTTTTTTTATTTCGGCGTAAACAAAACACGATTATAAATTGCTAAGCAGCCAGCTTTTCTGAGAAATTTAAAGATCAAAGAGTTAACGGGGAAAGATTCTTTAACGAGATTCAAAATGAATGCTATTAATCATACCAATAGTCCCTGACACGGTAAGAAACGGGACAAGTAAAGGAAAATGACGTTTGGCAATAGCTAACGGATATTTTAGAAACATATTTTTTATCAAATGATCTTTTACAAATTCCTTTTGACGGCGGGAATTGCTTTCCCACGTACAAACAATACATTATTACGGGGGCCCGAGTTCATTGACGTCACAAAAGAGGGCACCCCTACCCATGCATAATATGTTGAACAAATAACTTTCTTTGTTAAAATTTTCTCTTGCGGTCAATTATGGAATGCGGCGGAAGAGGCCCGTAGACATGTTAACGATATAAACATTCTTCGTTCAATTTGTTCTCAGTCTGCGGCAAATTAGATTTCATCTGCCTCACGCGTGAGGCTTGGGAGGTTGATTTTTTTAGGGATATAAAGATGTCCACATTTAATGCCTCACCCGAGGTGATTTTGTCCAAAAACGGTGCCAAATACCTACTTAAAAGAAACGCTAGTGAGAAAGAATTGTTTAAGAAGCAGACGTGGCTGCTAGACAAAGCTAAATCAAAAGAAGAGAGGGCCTTTTGCCGTGAGAGGGAGCGACTTTTACAACGTCGACTCTCGAGATTACAAGGAGTTGGTAAAACATCTCCTTCTTCAGACGAAAGGGTCAAAAGGATTACTGAAGATGAGTCTGATAAATGGGAAGTACAAAGTGATACACCATGTTATATCAAACATCGGAGAAAACAAGGTATTTTCTTGGACAGCTCGCCATTATGGTCCTCTCAAGATTCTGTGTGCCCATCGTCTGGGGCCTCCATGAGTCAAAGAGGCCCTGGAGTCCATAACTGTGATGAGTTTCTTAGTAGCCCCAGCGTGGTTAGGAAGTTCAAAAGAGCCATTTCAGAACAGTACAGCTCGACAAGCTCACGGACAAGCTCGCCGCGATCGACAAGTTGTGTTCTTCCCCCAATTTCACTTCAGTGTCCGATTTCTGGTAACGAGGGAGAAAGAAAACTCATACATGCACGATCAAAAGCAAAGTACAAGGAAGCGAGTTTCATTTGATGGGCCTTGATTCAATGACGGGTAAACATCAGTCACCTTCTCGGTGATAAATGAAAAACTATACCTTAAAGTGGCTAAAATGCCTCAAATTTAGAGTCAAAGGATAGAACGTGTGTCTTTGTGGAACGTACGAATACTGATATAATATTCAAGTGTTATACATGACAGTCATGCCCGCAACATACAATTTCCATATCACAAATTACTCATTACAATGTCTCATGGTTTTTTTATCATTACCCTTTTAGACCTATAAGTATAAGTTAAGGAATTATTTTATTTGAAGCCCACTAACACTTACACAAACAGCGAGTTATCAATTGATGAGACTTTAAAATTTTATAATAAAGGACATTTATGGATAGAGCGAAAACTAATTTGATATGTTTCATCTAGGGTGATTTAAAGTGGTCTTGTTGAATGTTATTCAAAAATGAATCGAGAAACCATCATTTACTGTCAAATCTGACAGGTAATTGAATCAAATCCAGTGCCCGGAGGTCAAATAGTCTAACTTTTCATAACAGATACAACGATTTTTAATATCGGCTGAGTTCTGATGAAATCTATAGTTATCTCGAAAAGCTTGAATAAATATGAACAAAGCGCGTGAAAGGGTTCAGGCGAAGAACACCACCGAACACCACCGAAACCCTGCCGGCTAAATACCGATTTTAATTACTGGGCGAGGTTGCCGGTTGGACAATCATGAGGTACTTAGTACGTAGGAAATTTCTCGGAAACTTCGGACGCCTCCTGATTAGAAAGAGGTGCATCTCAAAATGGTTAAATTTCTTAGTCGTCAGTACCCTTAAACACGTAAATGCTTGTCTCACCTTTTCGTCGGTTTTATTTCAGTAGGAAAGAAATGAAATAGCAACCCTTGCGTGTTTTTTTTGCTTGAATAATATTATCCTTTTGCGAGAGCTCCAGAATACGCTTACGTCATGTTGTGTGTTCTCTCGAATAGTGGCATGCAAGAGAATGTGTTGGATTGGCAAAAATGGTGCGATTGCGGTCTGCAATTCGACGGTTTTATGTTAAAAATCTATTTAGCTAGTTAAAGGTCTCTGTTCGCAGAATCAGAACGTCAATGTTTGGTTACATCCAATTTTTACCAAGACTTATGATCACAGTATTTGGATCATGTTCCGATGAAGCACCAATTACACTCCATGGCTACTGGCCACACCAATTTTTTGGTCTTCATTAATAAAAAATAAAGAGTCCGGTTTATAGAAAACGAGAAAAGATTCAGGGAGTAAAAGCAACTCTTTTTATTTCTCTTGGGCTATGGTTAGTTTCACTCAAACTTCAAGCTGACCCCTCCGAAATAAGCGGAAAATTTCTTCGAAACCTGAGGGACGCTTTCGAAATGGAAAACCGTTCATGATGAGAACTGACAGATGATAGTCGTTCAGAATCAAGGACAGAATTTTCCGCAATCAAACAAAATTTGCCAATTAAAAATTGAACGGCACCGTCCAAACCAAAATCAGATGGAAGCATCCGAAGTCTGCTAGCTCAGTGAATAGACAACTCAAAGCTTGTTTTTACCGCGCTATGTTCCCGGGTCGTGCCTTTCTTGCTAACTTTCTTTTTAATATCTTGTTCTCGTCAGTTTCTTTGTACAGAAAAGAAATTTTTACGTCATGAATAAGGTCGTTTTTTTATCTTGCGTAGGCTCTCCCGATTCTGGCAACCAAACAGTTTTGACGAACGGCGGTTTCACACTATAAGATGTATATATACCCCTTTATTTTTTCTTTAAATTTTTAAATTTTTTTTTTTTTTATAAGAACGTCTAATTTTGGAGCTGAGGCTGAACGCTCTCATGTTTTTTTCTTTGCGACTGAAGCCTTAAAACGTTCCTAATAAATCAAGTCGGACGTGACCAGACCTAAGAGGGTAATTTGTCACTAGCTATTAACTGAGTTGATAACGTAAATTGGCGATTGTAAAGAGTTTCAAAGCTGACATTTCGAGCGTTAGCCCGTTATCATTTGCTCTGACGAAGGGCTAACGCTCGAAACGTTAGCCTTTGAACTCTTTCCGGAGGCCAATTTACGTTATCAACTCAGTTGATTATACCAAATTACCCTGTTACACTCTCGCACCGACGCAGCACCACAGTTTCATTCTCTAGAAACGTACCCTTTATTCACGTGACCAGACTAAGTTCGACTTCAAACCAGTTAGTTGTTTTCAGTGTATCGTGCAATAGGAAAACATTATTGTTGAAAAAAGGCCGCTAAGTATTTGAGTTAAATGTCCTGTTAGACCACAGTTTTACATTTCTTTTACCTTTGCTTAAACTTCACAAAAAGGAGAAAAATAAAGATGTTCTAAACTGATTCTCACCCTGGGTATGTTCTTAGTATTTTCTCAAAATTTTGGTTTATCTCAACCAGAACAATGGAATTTTTAATAGGAAAGGTTCTTATCGAAGGAGGGTGTGCGGCGTCTTTTTTTGGTCTTTACGGAGACATGGTCTTTATCGTTGAACCTAGACCGGTATAGGACATAAGCTCTGTTTTGCATGGTTTCTATTGTACCCATGATTACAGTCAAAGATCCTTTAAATGTTATTAAACACAAAAGTATTGGTCCATTTCGATAAATTTTAGATTTTGTTACACGAAAGTTTACTGATTATTGCATGCATTGAAGTCTCAATCTTCTATAAAACTCCTTTTGTTTGATCGTTTGTTGTTGTAGTTGTTGTTGTGTTTGGCTTCTACATTCAGAATCAAAGTAATTCAGTAATGATCAATGCGGGATTTGTCCCAGGTTGTGCTTGGTTTGTCACATTTTATATTAATAACTTTTAATTTCAATCGTACGTTCAGACACCATTTATCACGCTAAATTGAATAAAAGTACTCCTAAATCGATATGTGACATTCTCATTAAGCCTCGGAAAAATGACACTGTTTTTCTCTGCCAAGGTTAGTATAAATTTTCTTTTTCCTTTGTGTGGATTATTCGTGACGATTCGTCCTACGAAGTTCGATTCAGTGCTCACCGATATTACTACACGGTTTTACAAGGGATTTAGTGCCCCTGAATAGTCGCAGTGCAAATCAAATTCAAGACAATATTAAGTATGGGAATAGCTTTTCATATAAATATTTGAAGATAAATTCCATTTCCATTGGTATACATGTATATGCGTGCACCTCTGTAGCTGCAAGATAAAGTTTAGCTACCTCATGAGATCAGTCATGGAAACCATTGATTAAACTTATATTGTCCCACAGACACTTTCCGGTAGAAATTGCCGGTTCAAGATTTACATTCGTTGTGAAATGAAAACGTATTGTTAGGTAAGCAGATTAAAGCTGCTTATAGTGTTACAGGTAAGGCCCGAAGCTGCTTCTAATGTTACAGGTGAGGCCCGCTCAGCAAGATACACTACTTTATGGATCTGAGACAGTTCGTTCCATGTAAGTGTTTTGATCCTCATTCATGATGCGTCCGCTGACCCTATGAATCGTGCGCATGGACGCCGTACAGTTTGTCTATTGCATCAAGACTTGGCGCGGCTGCATGACAAGCGGGAAATTGAAGCGTTCCACTAGTGCGTAGAAAGTGTCAGTTATGGTTCGAAATGCGGTTGAAAAAAAATCACATAGTGACAAAAGGAAAGGGAAAAGCCCCCAGAAGCGCAGTTTCTCAACAGCTGAAGTGATATACAGTAATGCTAAAAGATCAGCTCCTGTTGATGAAGGCAGTGCACGAAGTAAGCTGATTTGATCAAAATTTACATGTCATTATTTGCTAACTACTTTGTCGTTATGATGAAAGAAAATGGCATGACTGATGAAAGACTTGTCGGTTTATGTTTAGACCTGGAGTTATCCGTCATATTTTAATAGATCAAAACGTTATCGAAATCAGCCAGGTAATTGGACAAACAACATGCCCACTTTGTGCACGAAATTGCGGACAGAAGGTTTAATGCGATATCGTAAATATTAAAATAACTGAGAATCAAACAGTACCTAGAGCCGCGTTCTCTCGTGATTAAAGCCAGTAATTTCAATACATTGCAAGAAGAAAACAAGTGCATGCGGTCCATTCACTTCATACGCTTTTCCGCAAGACAACGAGAGTGGTATGATTCGGGAGAAAACTATCTAAACATTTATCCTATCAAAGTTAATCATCAGAAAATTCCAGCATGGTGTTCAAAGTGAGATTTCCTTTACCGGATTGAATTTGTCAGCCCTTTTTCCCTGAAAAAGTCATGTCATTGCTTGTGAGAAGGTCATGAAATTGCTTGTGGAAATATTCTTTGGTCTCATTGGGTCATGCAAAATTTCAATAAGTGGAGGTTCAGTAAAAATCTCTGTATGGAAATCTGTCACAATGACAAACATTGTAACCATGATGACAGTAATTTACTCCTCACAGTTTTTATATCAATATTCAAATGTATATACTGGAAGTGCCCATTGACTGTACACCACAGTTTTTAGTAGGGAGGTGGATAAAAAATCATAATCTAAAACGAGCCTTGCTCTCAGGGTTTGGGTCTACTGACACCTTGGGAATAAAGTTAATGTTTGAGTGTGACAATGTTATTTTGAAATGTAAATAATTGTTAGCAAATGTATTTTGACACATACACTTGTCTTATGGTAAGAGTGTAATCCATTCTGCTCTAAGTGATTAACAAAATTTCTTTCTTTCGTGTTGTCTTTCAATTTGATTGCAGAAAGGAGGAAATATAGACCAGGGACTAGAGCTCTGATGGAAATTAAACATTACCAAAAGACAACTCATCTCTTACTCAGAAAAAGTCCTTTCTTCAGGGTGGTAAGTTTGATGTTAAGTTAAACATGAATGTTGCAAAGTTTGGTGTTGTATTAAGAAACTTTTAAGTGCTGCAATGTCACTTTTATCATTTAAAAATTTAAGGTTCAACTTTCAGCATAATGTTACCAGCAACAAGCATTGTAATGGTTTTATTCAATGTTATAACTGGTCACTGCAGTCGTCCCCTTTATTTTGGTCTAAAGCAAAATTATTGGTTTCAGTTTGTTTCTTTTCATATTCATGACCTTGGTGTTGAAACAGAAGTGGCCATTTCTGAATTACATGAAGTATCTTTGTTTCTTATTTCCAGCATAATTCTCACACTTGAAAATTAGATTTAATTCAGGGTAAAATTATATGAATAGTGGCACACTGATAGCCTTTCTTGCATTGAAAAGGATCATTGCAACCCAGAAATGGGCCACTGGATACAGAAATTGAACTCTCATGGGGCTCTGCTCTACTAAGCCTAGATGTCACTGCACTGGAATTGAACTTTGGTATAGGGTTATTTGACTTGTATAACTTTTGAGAGTTTAACACACCAGATTTTTGAGAATAGAGACCTCATGCACCTGGTTATCATCTATCATCACATCCTTCCTCTATATTAATTGCTTTCAATGAATAAGAGAACTTTAATGGGTTGTTATTTTTCTTGTCACTAACTGTTTGCAGAATATTTGGAATGTACAGAGACTTTTTAGAGATTCTCAACAACTTCTTAACCATAAACTTAGTTACTGATATGATTAAATCCTTTAGTGGACCTTGTGTGGCACAGTACTGGTAATTTTAATCACAACCACCACTTTCTTTTTCAATTTGATAGTGTAATTGATATCACTTGGCTAGAACGTTTAGATTTTCTTGCTATGTTATTACAAAATTATACAAGTAAGCTTTTTTATCTTTAGTTATACGTACATGTACAGAGGTTACATATTTTAGTTTATTGTTTGTTATAGGTCAGAGAAATTGCTGACAAGTTTTACCAGCAGGTAGAGTTAAGGTGGCAGGCAACAGCATTGCTAGCATTACAGGAGGTAAGGAATTCTGTGAAATTTTTGCTGTATGGTTTATTCTACCCTATGTATATCTACATTGTTAGTTTAATAATTTGCAGAAGTGTTAAAGACATAGTGATACATTTGGTAGATGTTGTGCAAAAGTAATTTTTAACTGTGAGGCTGGTTACTATGGGAGGGGGGGGGGTGTGTGAATAGGTTTTCCATCTGTTGATATTTTACTTATTTGGGTGATTTTATCCCTGGAAAATGTTTCATTATAACTTATTACCCAGTAACACTTGTCCACAATAGTTTATAGAGGACTCTGCACTTGTTAATACAGTTGTACATTCTTTGAAGATGTTTGTTGTTTCTGTTTTCAGGCAGCAGAAGCATTCCTTGTTAGACTTTTTGAGGATGCGTACCATTCATGTTGTTTATATCCATCACAATGTTATTTTTTTGTTTTAATACCTTGTTCCCTTTTACTCTCTTCATTTATAGTTGTTTACTAATTCTTTCTCAAACATTCTTTATTTGTGTAATATAATCAGTGTGCTTCAACTTAATTGTATGTTATTTTTTGGAAATTTTACATGTACACATGTAAATGAATGTGCATGAGTGAAGTATTTATTTCTTTATTGTAATGCATGTAGATTTAAATGACAATTGGTTCCTGTGTTGTTCTCTTTGTTTTTCTTGTTTCTTTTACAGTAATTTGTGCGCCATCCATGCCAAAAGAGTCACTGTCATGCCCAGGGACATGCAGCTGGCCAGGCGAATCCGTGGACGACATGATGGGCTTGGTTGATTGAAAATGAATATTTCATCACTTCATAAACCAAACTATGGAAGAGCACTTTTATTTTTTAAAAAGATGTATTTTACTTCATGTAATATTTTTTGAGCAACTTTTAGTTTTTCTATTTTTCTATTTTGTTTTATGTAACTTAAATGCATGCTTGAAGTAAATTTTAAATCACTTTGAATGTTTGAACTGAGTGCTGTAATTATTTAACGGAACTTCTCATACATCAGAAGGAAATAAAATTATTTACTAGACTAAGTACTGTACACTGTCTTTAAGTTGTCTGTTTCTTTTTTGATAGTGACCTTTTTTAAACAAGTTGGACTCACCACACTTGGTTCAAAGCAGCTCTACTTATCTCTAATACTACTGAAGTAAATTATAAAATATTGGATGAATCGAAAGAGACCGTTTACATTGTTCGTGTTTGTACGTTACTGTTTGCCAGTGTGCTTTAAAAAAAACTGTTGCGTATTATTTTGAGATTAATTGAAAATACCTTCCTAACAATAACACTTTTGTCATTAGAACCTTTACACCTCGTGGCTGAGTGTAAGTTTTTAATAGTCCTAATCGTTTTAATTGATTATCACAACGCGAACCTTTGTTTCGCTGCATGTATCCCACTCTTAGCTCCTTTCTCCGTCGATCAGGTTAAGATTTCTCTTCTGCTTATCACTACCCCTGAACATCTTTCAAAAAGTGGTAAAAACAAGGATCCTCTAGTGAGGCTTACACAGCCGATGAAAAGTTTTCGAGTATCATCATTCAATCCCGCCCCCATACGGAACATAGTCATCATGGGCCAACTCGAACATAAAGGTTTGGAAAGCCAGTCTAGTCTTTTCTGTATACAAAATGCTTAGATGCAGTGTTGATGGTGGGTAGTGCTTTTTAGCTTCCCGAAAGTACAATATACGCTGAAGGAGGGTTTGTTGCTGAAACTGCAATGGAGTGCGCGTGGCTTATAATCAGTTGTATATTGTTTTTATTTGTATTTTTTGTATGTATTTTTGTGTAATCAGTTAACAATGTATTGATGTGCACATAAACGTCTGCTGTTATTGTTTTCTTTGCTGATGACTGACGTTGGTTTCGAGTTTTTCAAGCAATATTAAACTTAAAACATTCCAGACCAGTTTAGTATTAGTTGGGGCGATGATGTTTCGGAAAACGGTGATTTGCAGTTATTCAACCACAGCGCTTTCGCGTCTTTTACGAACGACATGAAAAAAGTCCGTTGTTAAGATTATACAGCCCGTTCATAAAAGAATTTCCGTCCAAAGTGGGCTGGTACGATTGCCGAAAATAGCACCTCTCCTACGAAACAAAGCAAGCCATAAGAAGCCTATCAAAAAAATTTTTTTTACTGTGCAGGAATTTGAAATCATATGAAGCTTAGATCTATAACTAATGATCAAATCAGAAGTGATTTTTTTGGTAAGTCTTGTTCTTTGTTAAAATTACACCCATATAATAGGCGTTGAACTTCGCCTACAATTTTAAAACATCTTTCCGGAGTTTGCAACACTTGAACGGTGAATTATACAAGGTACCACGGCGACTCAAATCAGATCGGAAGTGAAAGAGATTTTGTTGAAATGACCATTGTTCTTTGGCTGGACCATCAGTTGCGGTCAAAAGATAACTTGAAAAACGGTTTGAAAATGGAAAGGACCATTGTGATCTTCGAATGAGTGGGTACCCTTTTGAAAATAATACATGTCAAATATTACCTTAAAAGGAATTCAGTGATATCGAACAACCACTTAGTTTACTATACGAGAGTGAATGAATGAATTGTCATTTAACACAAACTGTATTCAAAGCAAAATAGTCACGCAGCAAAACCCACAACTCCTACCTCAATGCTGACTCTGGAACAGAATACAACTTCACATGTGCGCCAAAATATTTTGTATAGTTTAGCAGTTCATTCATGATGTAGTGATACAAAAACAGTTGTTTTGAGCGCGCCAAATGCTGTTACATTATTTTCTTAGCCTTAATTCTATTACTCACGATTGCTGAGCGGTCAAATGTGACCCCTTTCACGTGCCCTTTCCGGTGCCTCCCAACTTCCTCCCCCGGCCAATATGACGCAAGCGCAGAGCGAATCGGAAGTGGTTTTAATAACACGATCATGGCCGCCGGTTGAGTAACTCGCAGTTTACCTTTTGCCGCAGTGATTTACGCGCGAAATGGGCTCGAGATTAAGGTAAAAGCTTTACATAAGGGTGACTCATGGATCTTGATTTTTATTGACAACTGATTTGTTTCAATCAGGCCTTTCCCTGAGAGGATTTTTGAGTGCTTTTTGGAAGTCGCTGCCCCGACAGATAGTGAAGGTACGGTCACTGTGTACATTTCACCTGGAAATACAATCTTTTCTGTGCAGACAGTCGAGTCCTATAACCTCTTTTCTCTCAGCGACAATTTCTCTTATAACATGTCATAGTGTAATATTCCCGAGGAGATGTGCACAGACTCAAAACTCGCATCATTTCAGTGTAAAATTAACCTATCTGAGGTATCGTGAATTGGCTCGCGTAGTTAGAAATCTTGAGTAACATTTTTTATACTTTGACCTTTGTTGTTTTTATGATGACCTGCGTTTTTCTGTCAGTTCACAATAAATACTTGCTCCATCTAGGCGGAGTGTCATTATTGGCTAGAAATCTGGACATATATGCAGTTATTGCGATTCAAAAATTAAAATATTGACCACGAAACAAACGAGTTTTGATCTTACACTTGTTGAACTTGTTGAATGAAGGGAGAATATAAGTTCCTCCTTACGTGATGGGAATAACAAAACCCATAATTACATCGCGGAAACTGCATTATTATCAAATATAAATAGCGAACGTACATAAATGTGATCGTTTCTTGCAATGTTTATATTTAAACACAATGAAAAAGTCGAATTGCATGTAATTACACTCGACATGATGTTAAGTACTTTCGTTTCCTTTGTTTTACTGTTTTCGATCGCATGGTTTATGAACTGGAAATCATTTCCTTTGGTATTTGTAGTCTGACTAGATGATATCTAGACTAAAGTTAAAAAATCTTCATGATAGAATGTTTGGGAAGTTGTTCGTATGCTATTTGCTTTTTTGCTACAATTGCAAATGTGGTATGGTAATCCAATTCAGCAAAAGTTATGCTATCCTTCCAGCTAATGGGGCTCTTTTTCCCTATGGGGATTTTTGCAGACATATTTTTTTACATTATACAAAAGTATTGTGCATATTTTAAAAATTTAATGACCAATTTTAATGTGCAATAGTTACAGTGAGGTGTGAATTGACCACCAAACTATTTAGGAGCTGAAGTATACACGTTGGATCAGATGACAGATTCCAATACAATTCTAGGTTTCCAGCAGAGTTAGGAACATTAAGAATTCATTACATTTTCATATTTAGTGCTACATCGAGTTTGGAAAATGGCTTGATGAGTGTCTGAACCAAAGCTGCTCCACAGGGGTTCCAAAGGCTAGGAAGAAGGGCCCAGTGGCTCCAAATTGGAATTCCTTTTTACGATATACCACACAAGTGAACAGTATTTTTTTTGTGAACTGATTGACTAGTTCATAGGTGAGCAGCCAATAAGACAAAACCACATGTCAAGAGTTTCATTTTCGACCTTTTTTTTTAAGGAATATTGAAAAAAGAAATAAATTTTCGTATAGTTGTTTATTTTTGATTCTGACATCTAACTGTCCAACCCCACCTCCTATGTAGTCATATACTTCAATCAGGTTATTAAGATTACTTCCTGAAAGTCTTTAACAGGACCTGGCGTTGGTTGTTATGATAATTTGTGCCTTTTCAATTTTTACATTTGCTGACTTGATGCATTGGTTTTCTTGTAGGTCCAGAAACAAAGTTTATTCATCCCACAGACTTTGATGAAAAAGTAGGTGTTTGATCAAATGCCACCAAATGTGAGAACAGATAGTGAAACCTTATCTTGTTGTCAAGATGACAACTTATTTAAAATTGAATTGACCTTTTTCAGGAAGCATTAAAGGCAATTCCTCAGTTTTGCTATCCTTGTGTCACAAGTTCGTAAGTATACATCAAATCATGTTGTAAGTTGTAAATGTTTAGAATGAATATTCCTCAACCTTTTAAACACTGAAAGTGATCAACTTCCCCTTATCATACCATAGTTTATCTTTCATGGAGGATATGAGGTGGGACAAACTTATCAGCTGTAGGGTGATCAAGCAATTTTCATCGAAGTGTCAAAATTAATCATGGATTGCTTCAGTTTTGTTTTGCCTCACTATGTGTGTGTGATTAGTCCAGAAAACTAGCATGAGTTTTCAGACTAATCAGTTGCAAACCAAAACCAACTGCAGTTTGGACTCTTGAGTTTTCTGGCCCTTAGAGATGATTGCTTGTTTTTACCTTGAGTTCTCATGGGTTCCTCTGGACATCTTCTTTTACTCTGATTGGTTATTGTGAAAATTATCAAATCCTCTCAATTAGTTTATTCGGAAATGTATTAACTTAAGAAGGGATAGTTATGGATTACATCTTGGGAATCAAAAGGGTTAAGCTAGTGTGCTATTTCAAGGTAATGTTATCAGCAACAGGTTTGTGATGAGAAGTAGACAAAATGTTTTCTTCTTTACAGGGAAGCTGTCCAGCACTACACTTTTGTTCTCACTGATATTGAAGGAAAGTATAGATTTGGGTTTTGCCGCTATTCTCCAGATGTCAAGACCTGCCTCTGCATTTTAAGGTATTATACTTGAACAGATGATTTAGTGTTTTTAACACTGGCATAATTGTTTTGTTGTTGTCTTTTAAATATTAAACTACAGCTGTTAACTGATTAAAATAATTAAGTTTGTTTTTTCAGGTAAAACATGACATTGATAGTTTCACCTCTGATTTCAGCTATTTGCCGTGGTTTAAATTTTTTTATGAGCTTCTGAATAGGATTTCAGACTTGAAGAGAGAAAATGAGGTAAAAATGTTCCATAATTATGCTTATTTGCTTTTTGTGTACTGTTAGAACATATTATTTTGTAACAGTTGACAATTTGAGAATGCAATGACATTCTTTCTGTTTGATGAACAAATATTTTAAGGTAGAAAATTTAAATTGTACATGTATTATCTATGTCTATTTAATAGCTATTTTCACTGTGGTATCTTCACTTTCAGCATTTGCCTCTAGGGAAAACAAAAAGTGTTGTTCAATTTTCATAGCTCTAGATTTCTAAAGCAGCACTTAATGTTATATATTGGCCAAAGGAAGCAATTTTGAGTTATAGTGTATTTTTGCTGTCCAGTGTAAGCTAATTAAGCTGTGATATATAAACTGGAGAAAGTTTTCATGCTATTGTTGATGAAGTAAATTAGTTTTGTGTAGGAGCGTTGTACTGAAACACAAGCAAGCTTGGTATCAATATTGTGATATATATTAGGCAGACTTTTTTTATGATAATTTGGCACACTGTGAGTTTTTGTTTTGTTGTGAAGTTTGCTGAATTTTAAGAGTCTAAGTTGAGTTTTTTTTTTCCGGCTTTAAATAGAAATGGAATAGTGTCTATCATTTGACATTTTGTTATGCAATATACAGATTAATGCCATACTTCCAATACTGAATCATCTATATGGTCAAGCACCTAAAGAACCAGGCTCCAAGTTATCTGTTGCAGTGGATGGAAGCAAAAGAGTAAGTTACCACACAAATGTATCTTATGAGTGGTGAAGATTGCTTGAGGATAAAACAACTGTTTTAAAAAAATTGTTTTGATTTCAATCATGTAGGCAGGTTCCTGTTTAATTAGTAGTTTCAACCAGTACCTAGCTGCCTAGTAAGGAATAGGGGTAATCAACTTGTTGAGTAGTTCCTAATTTTTGCAAGTCCATAGCAGCCTTGTGTTGCCTCAAAAATTTATAAAAGAACAGTGTGATTGATCATTTGATGGCTTCGAACTGAAGCTGTATTGTGGTTCAAAAATATAAGCCTTCATAAGAGTTAGTAAAACAACAGCATGTTTGCTGATATTTCAAGTTTTGTAATTTGGGATTAGCATCCTTCAACCTACTATTTTTTCTCATAGAGTTCATTAATTTTTAAATTAATAAAATGTTATTTTTGTTGCATTTTAGGATATTTCCTTTGTTGTGCCAGACACTACTAAGCTACCCAGTATACCAGATGATGTGAGTGCCTTGAAGCTACTAGCTGTGTCATGTTTTATCAACTTGAAATAGTTAAATAGGCAAATTATTTATCCTGCCTTGGTGCCCTGATTTATGACTTAATTTTAAGGAGAAAGGTAACCTTTTGTTAAATTTGTGTAAAGAGTTCTAAGAAGGGTTTAGTGCTGAAATTGAATGGGATTTAAAATACTGTATATCCTAACATAGGAAATTCATGCCTCATAAGGAGCATTCTCTCTACTGTCCTTTGTTAAAATAAAGTACCTAAGATGAATAGCCATTAATTCCACTGCCAAAATTTACTGGAGTGTACAGTATGGAGAATTATGGGCCAAAATGATGGAGATCAACAATGTTGATATCAATGGGCCTCTTGCTTAAAAGCACAGAAACAAAGGCAGCAAAAGTTATCTCATCATGAGTTAATGAGATTGTCCTTAATTTATGTCAATCTCGTGAAGTATACAATTTATTTTCCTGAAATAATGCAGTGGCAAGTGGGGGCATTATAACCCAGTAAGATTAAAGGCATTTAACAAATGATGGGTATGTTTGTTTGTTTGTTTTTACAGAGGAACCTGACAGATTACTTTGCTGCTGTCCATCCCTCGAATATGATTTTTATATTTGCCAGGTAAAGGTTCCTTTACTGCTACACAGTACATGTACATTTTGTACTTTTTGCATTTAAATATCTAAACGACTATTTGCTGTCATGGTGTAGATATTGCCAGGTTCCTGGACTCCTTGCCACTTGCCAATTGATAAGTTCACCTTAATTAACTGGTGTATGTTTGTGTTGATAATACTTTACAATTCTCTCTCTTAGTATGTTCTTTGAAAGAAGAATAATAGTGACATCCAAGAAGCTTAATTTGGTATGTTGATTCTGCATTATTTAAATAATTGTGTATTGTTTACACTTTAAAACAAGATTTCCTAGAAGGAACGTCTTGCTGTTGTGTTTAGTAACTTATAAGTTTTTGCAGTATTATTAGAGGCACAAACTGTTTTGACTCATTGTTTATCAAAATTAATATTCTTTTTCAGCTAACTGCTTGTACATATGGAGCATCATCCCTTTTATATCCGATGCACTGGTAGGTTTTATTTCCTTCCCTCACACCAGATCATACCTTAATTATGCATCATTAAAGAAGATGGTTGGCTTTCTCTAGATTCAAAGTGGTGTAATAAATACTTTTTTGTTAGTGGTGCACATTTTCAGTATGCTGTGATTATAATACTTTTTCATCATTTTATAGGCAACACATGTTTGTTCCTATTGTGCCACGGCATCTGTTGGACTACTGTTGGTTAGTATGTAAACAATGGCTTACAGCTTTTACACTGACAATTTTGATTTTTTGTCATAAAAAAATCAGTACTATAACACTAGCAAATATATGGTAATAAGAGAATAACATATTTACATATCTTTAACAGTGCACCAATGCCATTTTTGGTGGGAGTTCATTCATCACTAATGCCGGTATGTACTAAAAGTGAAGTGAATTTTTAAAATTAATTAGGGCTTAAATGTAATCAAGTAGTCAGTCACAGATCCATACAAAAAAACAAACATACTCACTAACTAATTTGCAGTCTCTCAACGGCTATTTTGAGTAGAGACTTTCTAAGCCATTGCATCATGTGTCTTTGTAGATTGATAGATATTTTAATGTGTGGCTTTTGAATGCAATTTGTTTAAATTTCATGGAATCTGTTTGTTAAAAGTTTTAGTGTCCTGAATGTATTTGAATTTGAGGTTAATGTTCCTTTTTTTGCTATGCATTTTTAGAAAGTTCGTCTAATGCCACTTGATGAAGTTGTTATTTTTGATGCTGATACAAATACAATAGAAAGTCCATTTGATGATGTAGCACAGCTTCCTTCTGATGCAGTAAGTTTCAATTACTGACTATTGCTAATGCCTAACAAAGTTTCAGTTTAGTAACAGTACAATTATCTTTTGTAATTAGATGTGTGTTAAGCTTGTGGGCTCCTTAACAGAATGATCATTTCCCAGCTTACTGCTCAGACACCTGACCACATTTGTGTAGCTGTTACTTGGGAGCTTTTATTAAAGGTATCTTTTGGTAATTGATATTCCAGGGAAAGCTGGAATAGAATGAGACAGGATTCATAGGATTGATAGGAGGCAGTGTGACTTAGTGGTTAGGGGGTGGGGCTTATAAACTGGTGGTCCCAGGTTCAAGGACTCCACCTTGCTACTCACTGAGTTTGTTCTTGCTTTCCCTGTGTTCAACTCCTTTGCTGTACTTTGTATATAGCCAACTGGTCTGCCTCTTGCCAGTTGAGGTTTTTAAAGATTATGTTTTTGTACAATGTTTGGGTCCAATTTGTTCTTACTGGCCTGGAAAGCTCCATTTGGGGAGTGGTCAATCAAGTATAAATACATATCTACATAAATGTAAGGACTTATGAGTGGCTACACTTCCATTTCAGTTATCAACTCTCAAGAGCACCCTTAAAAAACCTGTTTATCCAATTGATGACCATGTTTCAAGGGCTTTTTTATGTGCCATGGTGTCACTTATAGGATGCTACAGAGATGCTTTACGGCTCAAGACTGTGAGTATGATGTTACAAAAATTTATCTTACCTCAGTTTTTTTGCTTTTTTCATTAATGGAGTAGCGTTGATCGTATCTTTGGGGTTTTGAGTAATTTGAGCAAAGGAAATTTTGTGAGTCAACAAATGAACATTTACATTTATGTTAAACACTTTTAGGGCGAAAAGATTGTCTTCGACAGGGACTCGTAAGTATCCATGTTCCTGTAGTAATAGATTCAACTGCATTTGTTTATTGAACTGCATTGTAAAATTAAACACACAAAGGAGGAAACGACCTAAAACCTAGATGTTGGTGGGATATCCACATAGAGGCTATCAGTCCTCGGATTGATTCGTTCAAGGCTCGTTTTCTCTCACGGCCGAGTAAAACCAGCCCTACAAATGACAAGTCAGGCGTGAAGGAGAACATAGAGAAAATTTTAACCTTAAGAAAAACACTACATGTTTTCGAAGGGTTTGTCCCAAAGGTGTCTGTTACTCTTTTTCCTACTCGGGTTGAAAAAAAAATTCATGTATCCCTTCGAGCAAAAAATAAGAAAAATTTATGAGTAAATGAACCTAACTTGTGTGATTGTAACGACTTTTTCTGTTCGTTGTCTTAGATTTGTCCAGTCAAAGTCTAACAGTAAAAGACAGTTACTGGAATTCATTCTTCAGTTGCAAATATTTGAACAGGTAATAACTTAGCCTCACCTTTCCATCGAAAAGCATCTTTTCCCATGCATAGAAGAAAAGTAGCGTTTTACCACGCAATTTAGGAGGTGAGAACGAAGGAGATCGCAGTTCAAAAAGTCGATTGATGTCCACCATTTTGGTCTTACTCTCGGCGGCCACGCGCACTCTGCATTTGAAGCTCAGTGATTGGTTAAGATTAAATTCCCGCGATTTTCGCTACGGTTGAGTGCATAAGGCTTCCTAGTGATTTTTCCCGCGTTTTATACAGGGCACTTGTGTTTGCAGTGAGTTTGACTATTAATAGTATCGAGTCCATTTTTGTGCTCATTGTATCCTAAAGCATTTCTATGGCTTACAAGTAATACGTTTGTTTACTTTTTGCGGTAACGAGAGAATTGACTCTATGTTGTGGTAAAATTTACTGTAAGCGTTCATCAGTTCGAAGAATACTCTTAATTGTCCAGCTGAAAGGGCTCCTCCTCCTCTGGGCTCGGAGGAACTTGAGTTTATAAGGTAAACATGGCAGGGGATACTACACTAGTAATGAATACATTTTCGTCTAAGGTTTTTGAACAGTGGGCTCATGTGTTGTAATTTTTACAGTTTATTGCAGAAAGACTAGACATGTTAAATGAAGGAAGAGGATTCAACGATGCTTTTGAAGAACAAATCGGTTTACAGGCTGAAAGTAAGCAATCTATATTTTAAGTCTTAAACATCTCGTGATACCAATTTTTTCGTTGGTGCTGAGCACTGCGTTGTGATTGTTCCATTAATCTGGAATACGTGTCCTTGCTATCTCATCAGTGTAGAGGCTTCGAAACACACCTCGAATGCTTTCTACAGGCTTAGATGCGTAGCGTATCGGATGGGTTTTTAATTCAAGTCCTCATTAACATTTTTTATTCAATTTATATATTTATAAACAGCGTAGCTATTTTTTTGCTTGTGCCAAGTGGCTGATGGCTACCAAAAAGGAATGGGGGGGGGGGGAGGGGAGAGGGAGGAAGGGAGGGAGGGGAATTCTTATATATCCGATGCACTGGTGTTATGTCGTTCTGCCGATCTGCTTATTTTATTATTTTTTTAACAGCAGTGGTGCAAAGGCCGAAAACTCTTCCAAGTGGTCCGAAACCTTATAAGCGTGGTTTAATGATTTTACTAACACCATTTGTTTTTCGATGTGTTATTTTTTGCAGATAAAGGAAGCTGGAAATCACAGTATCAGTCGTGGATGAATGAAACTAAGGTTTTTGAAGAATGGCACTTCTGATCAAACTGTTGTCTTGGATGTTCTTTTACTGTAGACTTTTCAGTTGACATAAGCTAAGAACAACCATAGTGAGAGAAGTATTAAAAAAAAAAAAATCAGCTTGTATTGCTGATTAGTTGTTTTTTTTTTTCTCTGAGTTCTCGTTAACTTTTACAACACAGTCGAAAAGGGCTCTAAAGCTCCGTGACAATGAGCTTTGAGTTACCGCTTGAACTGAGTATTCTTTAGGAAGCCTATTCTCCCTTCTCGCCGGCCATGTAGACTAATTCTCTCTTTCAGTGACATTGAACCTGTGCGTTTTTCATTTGCAGAAATCTGGCGGTGCTTTCCTCGATAAGGTAAACTAATGACTTCACAGTTTTTGCCTTTCTCAAGAAGTAATTTGAGTCTATCGGTAATGTCGCAGATGAAGAAAATTCTACTTTTTAGCCATCATTGAAATTTCCGTATCTTAAGATGTTTTTTTAAGATCTCATTATTTCTTGATTGGGCCTTGTTTAGCTTGTCATGTCATACTTGCATTGTGTATTACTTTTTTAATTTTATGATTTCTTATCCAGGCTGGTAACATGGTGAAGAAACAGTGCAAGAATAAATGGAAAACTGCGAAGGATGGAATTAAATCAGTTAGAGCTGATTTAGCGGATATACTGAAGGGAAAGGTAGAACGATATTACTTTGTAAATTCTCAAAGAAAACCTTTTTTTTTTTTATTGTGGCTGTAAGTTGTTCAGCAATTTACGTCGACTTCTCGTTGGTGGTCTGTTGTCTTTCTTGCTTTAAGTCTCTCTTCAGAATTCGCAAAGTTTGGCTCCACTCTCAAGCTTAACTTTACAAGAATACACCAATTCTGACGTAGCGATCAATCTTAAAGGAGTATGATAGATTATGGTATAAACATATACTTTCTGTGTTGGCCTATGTTAGGCCATCAATCAATGTTTTATATACACACACACGTACATCTCTCGAGATTGTGAATGGCTAACACGAATGTCGTAAGCCCAATGGTTGTCTTTCCACGCTACCTGTTCACTGTGTAATTCTTTATTTGTGGTGATGAGATGAATGAATGTAAATAGCAAAATTGAAACGTGTAGCGTATTTCATAGGGACAACCTTACAGTTGTGGTAACACACAAAGAACTCGTACATAGTAATAGATTAGAATAATGAATTGAAGTGTGCGGATGGAAAAAGGAAATGCTCTTCTTATAGGATGAGGACGAGTATGCAGGAGAACAGAAGAGATCAAATACCAATCCGGAATTCAAGTCGTTCTCAGTTTACAGACTTTCACCTTTTAACAAGAGAAGAACAATTTCGCCTGTTGAGGTAAATAAGATCTATGCTCAAAGTGCAATTAAAGCCAGGTGATTCATTTTCCCTTGTAGAACAATCCATGAATTATTTTGACTGCGGGAGCGTCTCCTTAGAACAGGTGTTGATACCGTCTTAGTTTTTGTGGTGGTGGTGGTTGTTGTTGTTGTTGTTGTTGTTGTTGTTGTTTGTGTGGTTGATACAATGGTTGGCCAAATGTATTTCGGACAGGTCCTCTTTAAGGACAACATCTTAAACGCTACCATTTTATTATTTCCAAATATAGTGTAATGAATCTCCAATGTAAATTAGGCCCCTTTTATGCTTGCATACTCCCATATAATGACTAAATTTCTTGGACTGCTTGTGTCTTAGTTCGAAAAACTCAAACTGGAAAGTGGCGCAAAGGAGCGCCCACCCAGACCTCCTCCGCCTCGGCCAAGTCCTTACAGCGCTTCTGCCAAGCGCCCTCGCGCTTCAGTCATGTCAACAGCGGAGGGAAAGTTCTCCCCTAAGCTGGTTGCACGCAGCAGTGCCCCCAATCTGTCATTGGAACCTGTTGTGGCCGAACTCATCTCACTGGATGACATTCCAAATTCGTCAAATGCTAGTGATAGGACACAAGGCTCGACTGATTCTTTGGTGAGTTTTCTTCGGGGATGTATTAATGAATGGTTTTGCGGTTTGAACTGAAATGCGTCGAAGAAGGGATAGTTCTTCAAAACCGAAACGTAGATAAGGGTAATCTTTGCGATCTTTGTCGAAGAGGTGTCAAGGTTAATGTGGGTTTTGAAAGTTGAGATGATCGAAGTTTCTTAATTCTTAGTCTCCGCTTGAATGATAAGCGAGGTGTTTGGCAAAGTTGGAGGTTTTGCTTTTGAGCGGTTGGTTGAGTTTTACCCCTATTAAAATTGGCATGTTACATTGTCAAGTTTTCTGATGTTAGTTTATATCTTTAGTGTAAAGTAAGAAACATTTGAGCGAAAGAGATTTGTAATTATCGCTGATTGCTTGTCAAGCTGTGGTATAGACGTTATTTATTTCAAGGAAAAACGGGCTCCTTTTACCAAACTTACTTGAGCTACTTCGTATGATCGATTATACTGCCCTTATTACAATAAACGCAAGCTACTTCTTCTTGCAGGAAATGGGCTCTTTAAATACATCCAGCGAGGATACAAATTCATTCCTACCCCTAGAAACATCCATAAATGAATACTCTGCTGGAGACATCACTCCCTCGGGAACCTTTAGCTATGAGGATGTAGACATAAACGTAAGACGATCAAATTCAACTAGGCATAGTTCAGAGAGTAATGAAGCGTCTGTAGAGAGGAGCAAATCATCTCCGTCACGACCAAAACCACCAGTTCCAAAGAGACCAGCTTCGGTAAAGAGAAAGCCTCAAGACTCAGCGAACCCTCTATTAGAAAACGCACACATGGGGGATAATGTTACATCAACGTCAAGTGCGACGAAGCCACCCAAATCAGTGGACGATATATTAGAAAGTGCTCAAATTGATGACACGATTTCTCCATTGAGGCCAGTGTCGTTATCATTATTACGAGACACGATGGCGTCACTTCCGGTTGATGCACAAGAGTTTTTGTTTCCTGAGACGGACGTTAAGTCTCTTGAAGTGGGTACTGGAGCACAAAATAGCAGTAATGCAAATCCAAATTTAGGAAATAATAGAAATGAAGCTGAACTTCCACAAAGTGTCTCGACGTCGAATCATATAGGTGCTGTGGATTTATCTCTCTTGGAAATTAGAACAGACAGTGGTCCTGATCGCAATGTGCCAAAGAGTAACCAAGCGCTAGAAGTCAACCAAAATGTGGATACCAAGAGCGAAGAAATCAAGTGCGATAAACAAAGTGGTACTTCTAATTCCCAGCAAAGTTGGGTTAACTTTGATTAATGTATATAATATGTTAAGTATGAAAATTTCTCATAAAATTACTTTTATTCGGTCGTCAAATGCTGGCGAGTGATTTTTTGAATTTCAATCATCGACTTCATTCTCGTTGTTGTAAAATTCAAATATGTAGAATGTAAATCAAGTAGCTGCCTATTTTACGCCCACGACAAATTTGTATGGAAATATTTTGGGTCGATCCCGTTCTTGTTTATATTCTACGGTCATTTAAACTTGTTGGGAATCATCCACGTCTAATAACCGGAAAACAAACACAAGATTAAAGATATATCTTAACATTGCTTGTTGTAAGTACATCTTATTTTAAGATATGTATCTTGATCTTGGTAAGATCATTTTTCCTCTGTTTTATTTTGAAACGAAAATTTATTGGATTTGTATTGTTTGATTTTCATTTAGATGTGTTGCGAGGGGATTTATTCAATATTTTAATATTGTTTCCATTTATGTTTTCTAAAACCAACGAATTCGCCGTGCAATCTGGTGTTGCCTTTGTGGGTTTAGTGGTAGAAGAAAGTTTTAACAAGAACTTCGGTTGAGTGAAATTCACAATGACAAAAAAATATTTTAAAGGTATAATATAACATGCTTTCCAGAAGGGTCTATTGTAAAATAAATTATATTCTTAATATTTTTAGCAGTCTCTAGCTTGTAGCTGATTATATGTTCACTTAACTGGGCGTGAGCGATACTCTTTTTCCATCTGCAACTTTGAAACAGTACGTAATCCAGCGGAATCAACTCGATAAGTATGTTTCGATCACGGTACAATGCCTCTTTTTCTTTCAATACGAAGTTTTGTTTCTTAAGTGAACTAATTAAGATTCAAGGTTGTCAACATTTGATAAATTCGAAACAAACACTGCTTTGTTGTGAAAGCACTTCCTAGGCACTATTTGTGCTTTTAAATTATAATCGGCCGGATAGCAGGTTGGTCATGTTTCCACGCCCTGTCATGGATTTTCCCCAAAAAAAGGTTGTGGAACTTAGATGGAAAGTACGAAACAGTTTTTAAATGCAGCAGATTGGTTGCTTGATTGAGATTTAACCAATTTTGCACAGAAGAATTGTGAACCTAAGATGTTAGGAAATATGGGCGGTCTTCTCAGTCAAACGAAACAAAAAATGTGTTTTTGCAAATTTTCACACGCTGAAAACTGAAAGATTTGAAATCATAGCATTTTATTCTAAGTACAATAATATGATTGTAATAAGAAATGGTAACTACCTCAGAAAATTAGAGCTCAGTAAAGTATGTCCCTCTGAGCATATATTCGTATTTCTTTGCGTTTACGTTACTTTTATAAAAAGGTGTTAGCACCACTCTAAACACGAAGACAGTCACGGTTATAGCCAAAGCGTGCATGAACATTGAGTATATTTACAAAATAACGTATCGGCCTGCAAAAAGTTAGGCTCTTTTTAAAACTTGAAATTCCTATTTAATAAATTCGAGAAGGGGCGGTATTTCCTTCAGATGTCTGCTGTCTTGCTGTCGTTTTTTGCCATGACTAACATTCTCTTTAAAATCAACTGTTCTTCTTAGTAGATTTATTAACCCTTTAACTCCCAGATCAAATTTGTAATTCTCCTTACTGTCAACCATAACATTCTTATAATGTTAGTTCAGAGAATTTGGTATTGGATCAACTAATTATCCTCAAATTGATATTTTTCTTTATTCTCATCACTTATCTGGTTGATATTGTATTGATATCGTAAGGAGAAATTCTGTCTTGGTCATCCATTGGAGTTAAAGGGTTAAAGAAGATTGAAAGTGCGTTCGAGGTAAAAGAGTCGCTGGATTGGCGGTTTCTTAGTAGACGCGATAACAAACACGACGATTCTCAACAAAATAACCTGGATTTCAAGAAATTAATAATTTATTTACACACTTACATAACTAGACGAGTAAATACGCGATTATGAAAAGAGTTACAGATTTCATGCCAATCCCGCACGCTTAACCCTTTAATCCCTGAGTGACTAGCATATAATTTCTCCCAACAGTATAACCCCTGCATCACACAGTAAGGTCAAGAGAATAAAGGAAATGATTACCAACTAAATATTCCTTTGATTGATTAACAAATTCTCCATGTCAGCACCTTATGAAATATAAAGAAAACGATATGGAGAATACAGCTATTTCAATTTACGTTGTCGGATCAAAGCTTCAAGGGTACGGGACAAGACCGAAAGGCGGTATGGGTAGATTAGAATTAATTTTAGGCTTTCGGGGTTGTCGGCACGAGATGGACATGGACATCGGAGATCTTCCCTGTATGGACGAGGCATTGTTAATTTTGCTGATAATTATTCATTAAGATCCCATATTCCCCTTCGGTCTTGTCTTGTAGGCTTGAGGCTTTGATCCGACAACGTAAATTGAAATAGCTGTATACCTACTGATGTTAGGGTGTAAACGGTGAAACGATCACATGACGGATGGCAGATAAAACGGCACGGTGGTCAGTGACCAAGTTTTCGAAAAGGAAAAAAAAGCGGATAGGTCATTTGGGGGATGTGATAAACGTCTTTGAAAGGAATGTAACTTTGAAGTGATGGTGGTTTACGTACTATATAAAATTTAAAGCTAAGATCACGTAGGTAATGCTCACAGGAAAGAGACTGGTAAAGATGAATGAGATTAACATGGATTTTACATAAAAATATTGAAACTTGAAGCCGAATTTTTCAATGTATAATAATATTTGTTTACTGATTAATCCAACAACTAGTATTTCCTGGAAAGCCGAGCTTGTTCAAGGAAAGTGGGGAAAATTCCAGCAAGTATCTAGCAATTCAAACATCTGCCGAATGTCGGAACTAAACCGAGATCTCTTTGGGCGTTTATGTAGAAGGAGGAGAGCTATAATCCCACTTCATGGAAAGGCTCACTCTGAGCTCTCCAGATCAAGGTAAGATTTGATCCTGTTAAAATGTGACAGGCTTATCTATTTATAATTTGAACCACAACAATTTGGAAGAAGGTCGAAAAAAAAACTTGGATAAGAAAGTCTTAAATTAATAAGAATAGTAGAGGGCGTCATCTAGACGGTTCGGATCTCGCCAATTGGGTTTGGAGATAACCGCGACGGTTTCCAATGTAAACTTCACTACCTTTTCGATTTTAAGTTTATAGTTATTGATATACCAATTACTTAAAATGACTTTCTATAACTTCCGGTCTCCATCATGATCAAAATCTCAACGGGAGTCAAACACTCCCATTTGGTCATCATTTCTAGAAGGATAACTGTAATTCACGTTGAGTGTTTCCTATACATAGCTACGAAAATATATTTGCTCTTCTCATTTTCCGTCGATCAAAGCCTAATCCTCGTTGCTGAACCCCAAGGATCTTGTTGCTGACACTGACTAGTAGGATGTCGCGGTGATGTTACATTTTCATAGGAGTAAAACTCTTTTTCTAATGGATGCGTTAGAGCATATTTACAGTGGCTAATTTACATTATCAACTCAGTTGATAAAACCAAATCTGACCTAAAACTTCCCGGCAGCACGTAGGCTAAAGGATCAGGATTCCGCTTTATCATCCACCGAGGGAGTGGTGTTTATGTAGGGGCTTAAATCCAGAATTTTGAATTAATGCTTTAAAGACAAATCGCGTTTTACAAATGTTACGGAATTCCGTCTAAACCCTTACGTCCAACATTTTAATAGGATCACAATTAAGTGACAATTAAGTTTTGAAACTGTTTTCTCGGGATAGCTTGCAAGTTAAAGAAAAACAGCAACGACGTAAGTATCTAAAAGAAAGTTTCCATGCTGAGAAATAAGTTAATTAATTAGAGATAAATACCACATTCCTCTCGGTAATGTGATCAGTTTCCTTTAAGTAACGTAGTTTTAATTGCGCTATCGGACCAAACTTTCCTATTTTGGTACTCCAGCAATTTCAAGGAAAATCAGTATTCTTGAAGCATAGGAGAAGAAACCCAGTGAGTTATAGATACGGTGTTAAATTTCAGGAACATCTATACCTCGAGTAGTAATTTACGTAAGGGAAGCAGTGCCATGCTGGTCAAATATTGCATTTCTGAATTTTCGAGATAATACCACACCACAGCTCGTTCTCTTTCAGACAAGGGTGGGTAGGCTTATGAGATAGGCGACGGTCGCCCTACAGAACTGAAGTATAGTTAAAAACCAATTATTTATTTAGACTGAGTGGACCCAGCCGGCTCTATCAGAGGAAGCAAAACGCGGCACATTTCATTTTTATTTTCATTAAATACCTTAATCATGATCGTACACTAAATGTTGTTCAGTTCCTCAAATCCGCCTTTGGTCGTTAATAAGTTTAAGTTTCCTGAGCCTATACTTATTAAGTAGCTTAGCTGTTGTTTTTACAGGCGTTGAACACCAAAGATTCTTCGATTAGCAAATCGATTGTAATAACGGAGAGAAAGACTCATCGTCCTCTGAAGAAATCAAGACTGAAAAGATCAACTCTTTAACATTGACATAATTTGCACCATGGTCGTAATGCAATTCCAATCAAAATATCTGTCATCTGGGATCTTTTTACTTAGTATCAAGTTTGCATGCGTTTTATACGGTACGAAGCCAATTCAAAATTCAAGGACCCAGGGAGAGAGAGGTGGGGATAGGGAAGGGCTGAATGATTCCTACACAGCCATTTTCTGCCAGGGGAAGGACTGTAGTTTTCTCGGTCCTCAAGTCTCTAATAGAGTACGTTTATATATTATTCAACCTCTTGAGTAACGTATCTTTCTGGAATCGAGGCCAACGTTGGCGGTCTTCATGTGTGGTACTAACAATTTTTGAAATATCTGACTTGAAAAATATGTCAAAGTATGATTTAGAAGGTCGGATCAGCTCACCCACAGTCTATAACAATTTTTTTGTCCTAAACGTAGTAACAGGTTTTAAGGTCTCTACAGCACACGTCAACCCGGTAAAATAAATTCCCTTTGGTACACTCCCGCTCCGGACCCTCAACATGTCGGTATAGTGGTGGCTAATCACCTTCTTGTTACAGGCTCGGATGTCTAAATACGTGGTAATACCGATGTTTCTTTTAAATACACAGAACATACTCTGAGAGAAATGTTAATCTGCGCCACGAGTCTCTTTTGCAGAGATCTTTGGATCAAATCTGACCCCGAACGTGTGCGACCATAATCAGCTATCGAGCAGGCCTCTGGCGATGACCCGTATCTCTTCTCGGTTTTAGACACAATTCAAGGCAGACACAGAAAACTGAAGCATCACTCGTCAGTTTTTATTGGA